CTAGCTGTTTGCTATAATTGGAGGGCCAGAGCCCTGGGGTTCCACCTGGAATCCTCAGGTGCAGATCGCGCTCAAGGCAGGAGCTGGCAGGGGCATCCCTCGTCCTCTGCTCCCAGCTCCGGGGGTCTTGAGTCCAGCGTGGGGCAGCTGGCTCAGCAGCGCCTCACTCCGCAGCTCCGCGAGGAGGCAGGGTCGCCAGACAGGAACACCTCCTTGCAAGTAGGACTTCCCTGTTGAGCAAGCAATATGCCCCTGGCTGCCAGGTGCCAGGGCAGCTCGGTGGGTTTCCCGCAGCTAAGTCTGGGTCCAGCCCAGTGGTGCGTCTGACGCCCCAGGCGAGCTTTGGCGCGCACGAGTGGACAGCCCTGGTGAAGGGTCTGGCGGTCTGGCTGCAAGACAGCTCGGTTTGAACGATGCAGAGATGGCTCTCGGGTCTCCCCGGCGGGCCATGTCTGTGCTTGGCCTGTCGAGGTTTTCCTTGGGAATGGCTACAGACTGGCTTGATGTGGCCACGTGTGGTGCTGGGGGTGCTGTGGGGAGGACCCACTGCACCTGGCACGAAACTCTGCCTTGCCGTGCTGGTAGAGGATCCAGAGCCAGTGCGCCAGTGCAGGCCGGGCGTTCCTGATGGCCGGTGACGCAACCAAGCAGGGTAGATGCAGGAAGCGGGGTGGTGCTGGGGGCGAGTCCCCACTTCGGTGCAGCTGCTGTTCTTTAGGCCAGCGGCCAGAGATACGTCTGAATGTGGCTTTTGTGGGTCTACGTCCTATCGCAAAGGGTTCTGGGAAGAGGTCTGGTGCTTGGGCACACGCCACAGCAAGCGCTGCGGGCATGGCCTGCTTGTCTTTGCCGTGGCGCCGTGTGAACGTGGGGGAAGGCGGAGGGGAAGCCCTTGGCCAGCACTCTTTTGGGAAGGCTTCGCTGCCCTCTCCGACCTTCTCACTGAGACATCTCAGGCGAGGTTTCCGAGGAGTGCTGAGCACAATCTGAACACCACGGAGCAACACCGTGGAAGACGGCTGGGTGATGCGTTGCAAGATATAAGCACCCCTCTTTGCTTCTGACGTGCTCAGAATGCCCGAGGATGAAAAATCCAACAATGAGTCCCCAGAACTTGGAAAATAATCCACATAGGTGGGTGGAAATGGCCTAATGTCAGTGACACTCCTTTTGGAGACAACTCCGGTGGTCCCATCACTGGCTGTGCTGCTAGAGCTGGTCAGCGTTGTCTGCCAGACCGTCTAGTTTAGGATGCTGCTTCACTGGCAGAGAATCCAGCTTGTGCTATTTGCCTGCCCCTGTAGGAAGGCAGGAGTGGGCCAGGCAGTCCCTTCAGGACAGTCCCACAAATGGAATTCATGGGTTCCCTTCCGGGGAGTATCTTGGCTGCACCCAGGCGGGGCCCTAGGCTGCCCCTGAAGCAATGCTGACGTGCATGTGGGTTGCACCGTGTTTGGGCTTTGACAGAAGCTGTGATGGAGCTGCTGCATCCCATGGCACATTCTCTGGTGTTCCAGGAGAGTTACCACCCTGGGTGCATTGGGAACGTCAGACGCCACCTTGTTCCCAGCCAGATGCAGCATCCATCTCACGGTGACTCCGGCGATCTTTCCCAGCCCAGTAAGGCAATGCTGGGGGTTTATAAGCAGGGGCTTTTCCAGGCAAAGCACTTTCTCTGCTGTAGCCCTTCCCATCACGATGCCCAATCCCAGTTGTTTCTGGCACCAGTGGGCAAGATGGGTATGATGGTGAGAAGGGGCCACTGGAGCCCAGTCGGCCTGGAAAGGTGGGCGCAAATGCCCAGCGGTCACTCAGCCCTTTCTCGTCTCTGAGTGCAGTGGAGGACCCAGACCAGCAATGCCAGAATCCACTTGGCATTCCTCTAAAATGGGAAGGTGGTGGTTTGTGACCCTCTGGTGGTCCCGCCTGCTTCACCACTGGCTCTGTTAGCTAAGGTTGGCAGGAGCTGCAGACCCAACGCTCTGGAGGGACGTAAGTTCCCCATCCCTTCTGCAAACCAGGGCCTGCCTTCATTGCCTTCTTTTCCTTCTTAAAACAGATGCCTGCATTTCTATTTAATGTTGGCTGTTTTGTGCAGTCCTCTTTCTGAAGCTGAGCATAGAGTGGATGGCTAGTGCTCAGACCCCAGAAACAGGAGCCATCTCTGCCCAGAGGAAGTGTCCAAAAGATGAAAAGTTCATAAACATTCTGAGCAACTTGGCGGTCTTGTTTGAGTGGTACATTTATACTATTGGTACAGTAATACTATTTGGTTACTTGTAGGATATATTGATAGATTAGTTATCAATAGCAAGTAATACACTGACATTGATGCCATTTAATTAGTTAATTAGCAACTCCTTTGGCAGGCCAGGCACCAGGTTAGGGTCTGGGGGCAGTGGCGTGCTCAATTGCAAAGGTTACGTGTGCCTTGAAGGAGCCCAGGCCCAGGTGGTGGAGTTTCCATCTCACTGGCATTCGCTAGCGAAGCCCCTGCCCAGGCCTTCATCTGTGCTGGCCCCCTCCACGCAGGCTGCCTAAGCCGGCTTTGTTTTGTTTATGTCCTGCCTGTTTTCCATCTCAGGAGCTCGGGGCAGCTTGCGTCATTCTCCTCCTCCTCGCAATCAAATCCTCACAACAACAACCCAGTGAGGTAGGCTGGGCTGAGAGTCTGTGCCTGGCCCAGAGCCAGCCCGCTGGCTCCATGGCTGAGCGGGGACTCGAACCCGGATCGCCTGGAGAGCGCCAGTCCCACACTCTTAACCGCTGCGCCACTCTGACCCACTGCTTTTTGCTGAGTCTTTCTCCCCAGTCGTATCACCGGAACTTCCCATGCGTTGTACATTCTTCCATACAGCAGCCTTGTAAGGTGGGCTGGCGGTCGTGATGCCTGCATTGCCGACGGGGCGGAGGGCGAGAGAGAGCAGCTTGGCTAGGCCATCTAGCGAGTCTGCAGCAGCGATGGCACTTGGCTCCTGCAGCCCCACGTGGAAGGGCATCCCGTGGCTGAAAAACAGGCGACTGCCAGTAGTCGCAAGTCCTGACAGCTGTGTGCTGCCTCCAGGGAGCACACGGGCCCCTCCGCGGGGCTTCTGGCTGGCCCCTGCACACAGGGAAGGCGGCCCGAGCCCTGCGCCGGCGTCAGGCCTCTTAGCCAGTTCCCGTGCAGGCAAACCCTTGCAGCCTTCAGAAGCACACTGAGCAAGAATCGCCAGCGCCGAATCGCATGTCTCTGGCCAGGCATGAGAAGCGATGGGCGGCCTGGAGCGCTTCTGTGCCTGTGGGTGGCAGGGAGGGGGCGGGCGCCGGATCAGAAGCGGTCTTGAGGCGGGTGGCCCCTGGGCACGCTGCACCAGCGAGCCAGCCCAGCTGCTCGCACAAAATTTGAGAAGGGTTTTCCATGCCTATCGGGGCCCCGAACCCAAAAACGTGCATGGCTGATTTGCCTGCGCGGTCCAGCTTTTTCGGTGTCTCCTTTCCCAGAGCTCCCCTGAGATTTTGCCGACTTTGACATGAAAACCCAGTGCACCTGTTTCCAAACAGTTGCTGGGTGGTTTGGGGGTTTTTTTTCCAGTTAAAAATGTAGATTTGTAGATATTAGTACAACATCTAGCGTTGTTCTAAAGTCTGTGGATATGGCTGTTCGAGAGGAGGCAGGTGCAAGCAGCTGAAGTAATCTTTCAACAATTGTTTTAGCAATGTAACAATGACTGGCATGTTGCCCTGCTCCGATGGAGGTTCAAAGATAACTCAGCTTTTCAGACATCAGAAATTCCAGGCAAATCTCACAGAATGTGATCTGGAGAGACTCAAAAGCATAAACGGAACAAATATCTCTGCTACAGAAGAAAAGACGAGCTGGAAAAACAAATTATGCTTGGCCTCAGAAACAGCCATGTTGCAGTCAGAAAGTAAATTCTTGATCATGTCCCAAAAACCACTCCCAGCACTGGTGCAGTATGGAAGCTGAAAGCTCCGCGACCGACTCTGAGCGAGATAATGGCCAAACTTGCTTCCTTTCACCGTGCGTGTTTTGCTCTTTGTGCTGCGTCTACCACCCGTCTTTCTCTCTCCCTCGCTTTTTCTCTGAGCAACGCCCTTAGGAGCTGCCTTGCTGGCCCTCACACTGCTGGGTGGTGTGGATTTAGAAAGGCTGCAACAGTCACACTTGCTACTATCAAAATATCGTTATGACTATAATATTATGAGGGCTGCAAAGTTAATTGCTTACTCGGTGCAATTAGCAGCGAGCAAGGTAATCCCAGGGTATCGGACAACGGTCTTAGAAAAAGCCTGTTGCTTCCTCACTCACATGCAGTGGCAGAGCCTAAAATTCTGCTTTAGGATATTGCTGGCTGCAGAAAAGCAGCGCCTGCAGCTTTTTCTCCAAAGTGATAGTTCTGGTCTCATGCAGGTTTTTTACCACGCAATCCAGGGCTTGTCTACACAGAATTACGTCCTCTTTTGTTCTGTGGGGCTGACTCCCAGGAAAGTAAGCGTTAGATTGCAGACTTAAGAACTTAAAATGAATTTGACTACTTGAGGATCTGTGCCTGCTTACTTGAGGGTAAATCCCCCTGGGTAAAGTGCAGCTTACTTTGGAGTAAGAACAGAGAGGGCTGTGCTCTCAGATTTCTTTCCACTGGGTGGCAGCTGCTCTGAGGATCTTATTCCTCTTCTAGCCAATAAAAAGAAATGTTTAAATGGTATGAACTGAGTGGCAGAAACAAGGCAAGGAAGAGTTAAAAGGCATTCTTTTCAATGTGGAAAGAGGAAAAATGTTCCGAAAAATTCCCCAGCACATTTGGGCCGCACCTCTTGAGAGAGGGAGTTCCACAGATGTGGCGGCCACGGCATGCAAAGCTTTCCCACGTGGTACTTTGGGAAACTTGGAGCTGGCTGGAGGAATGTGCTCAGCCCCACTGGGGTGGGTCAGGCGTGCTTGTGCAAGGCTAGGCACTCTGCGGGTCCTTCAGGTGGTTCTTCCTCCCCACGCCTGCATGTCGCTGCCGTTCGGGAGCCCTGATCTGAGTAAGCACCTGAGGAATCGCAAGGAGAGGATGGTGGGAGAGAGTCAGTCTGGCCCCCCTCCCCTTCCTACGGCATCTGCTCCCAAGTTTGTGGAGTGAGACCTTTTCCAACAGGACTTCAGGAGGTCAGGCCGAGTCCAGGAAGACTAGACTGGCTCTCTGGTGGGAGGAAGCAGGTTCGGCCCGAGTCACCAGAGGCTTTCCCCATAGTACGAAGGGCCTGCAGCTCCACCCCAGTGTGGTTCTGTTTGTCCCTGCCCAAGAGCTGTGTTGCAGGAGCCTGTGTTTTAACAGGATGCTCTATGGTTCACTCAGGACTAGAAACTTGTCTGTCATGCTGCACGAAGGAAGAGGGAGGCTCAGGGAAGCTGTTCTGTGTGGACAGAGGCACGGTGAATGCACAGTTGCAGGGATCTTTGTCAGTGGGGACATAACCGACTAATTTTGAGCCTTGTGGTGGCGCAGAATGCGGCAGGGCTGAAAAGGGCCAAATGGCCGGTTTGGCCTTTTTCTGTGGCACAGTCCTACCCTGAGTTCTTGCCGCACTGGTGTGTGGCCAAAAGATAGAAGTGGGTAATAGATAGTGTGATACAGGATACAGTCAAACAGACTGGTGCCTTCCTGTGAAATGTAAGGCAAAGGTTGCGGAACACTGTGCACTTCAGACTTCACTTGCGGCTCCTTCGTGCCAGCTCAAAGGTTTGCGTGACGGCTCCTCCTCACACAGGACTCGCTGCCCCTGCCTGCATGCAAGTTGCTGGAGAGCGAGGTCCCCTTGGCCAGGGGCACTGGGTGCCTGGGGCAGCTAAGGTTTCCAACAGCTGTTCCAGCCGCTATGCAGAGCCCCCACCCCCAAGCCTTCCTCGCCGCAGCATCTTCTCTCGCCCTCCCTCTGGAAGCACCTGGCTTTTTCTTGGGTTGGAGCAGCAGAGAAGAATAAAGAAACGGCTTGCTGGGACCTCCTCGCTTCTCCGCGCTGTGCCAGCATCCAGGCAGCCGCACTGAGAGGCGGGTGGGCGGGATACTGAAGGGACGTTGGCTGCGTAGGGACACGGAGCTGCTGAGGGGCTCCGGGGTGCCTTCGGAGAAGCCTTGTTCAGCCCGCGGTTTGAACCGGCCCAGAGCCCATGTTCCCCTTGTCCTTTCTGGCGGGACCACAACCCTCTGCTTGATGCACTGTGTCTGCACAGGGGTGTCATTTCTGCTCGGCACACGTGTCTCTGCAGATCACTTGTGCGCTGCATGAAAAAAGACGGCTGCGCTTATGTTATCCAGTGTGTCAGACACCTCTTCTGTTGCCCTTTTGCGGCCTTATCTCCGAGGGCTTCTGATTCTCACCTAGGAGGCCTTCCCAGATGACAGGATCCCGTTCGTGGCTTTCAGGAAAGAGAAGAGCCAGATCGCTAAGATTTATGATGAGCTTAGGAAAGGGTAAAGCCCGGACAGTCTTGGAGGTGCTGTTTACCATAACGCTGTCCACTCAGGGTGGTACAGTTTGCATTCTTCAAGTAATTCTGTTTTATTTTTTGTTTTTTTCAAAAGGGATTTTGGAGTTTATTAGCTTGGCTGTAGGACTGGTTAGTATCCGCGGGGTGGATTCTGGACTTTACCTCGGGATGAACGAAAGAGGAGAGCTGTATGGATCGGTAAGTGTGAACCGGGCAGCCACGGCATGGCACCGTGCAAGGGTGAGGGGCAGAAAAATGTGACCCCGGCTGGACATCACGCAGGCGGTCTGCGTGGGTTTGCAACGACATCGGAGAGTTCCCCAGAAATGGGTTAGTACCAACTGCATATTAATGGAGCTGGCCGGGGCGGGGGGGGGGCGGGCTGCAGGGGGCTGCAGGTCCCCTGGAAGTGAACAGAATGAACGCTCTGGGGAAACGCACAGCTTGCCCCGTCCAGCGTTCAAGGCACTGAGTCCTGAACCTGGGGACCCAGCACAGCGATTAGGCCCCTGAAAAAGCAACACAGTTGACAGCAGAAAAGCCAGATCACAGATCAGCAGGCAGAGCTAGTCCAGTTGAAATCCTACACACGTTTAGGCAGAGAAACATCCAACAGCCAGCTCACAGCATGCCCAGCCAGCATGAGCTGGGTGTTTTTCTGGCCAAATGGGTGCAGGATTATACCCTAAGCTCCAAAAACACACTTTTGATCTGAAAGGGAGAACCTTCTTACACCTTCCTGGGAAGGGCATTCAAAGCCCCCGGAACACTATCAAGCCCCTGATCTGGGGTCGGTCTCCAGGCACATTTTCACACCAGTCTAAATTGCAGGTGAACTAGCACATGGGCCTGGCACACACGAGCCTTTGGAGGAAGCGCCAGGAACGGGCTGGGGACGTGACCCTCTGCTGCATCCCTTCACGCCCCCAGTGCTGCTTGGGAGCCAGAGAGTTCTCAAGTAGGGGGCCTTCAAAATCCACTTGAAGGGTTGCCCTACCTCATTGTATGCTTTTCGGCACCAGGTCAAGACCTTTTTATCCACCCAATATTTTAGTGTTGAAAAGATTTTAATTATGTTTTACTTCAGTCGTGGGTTATTAGTTATTATTGTTCATTATTGTTTGGGGTATGTATGATCTTTTGTATTGTTGTATTTATGGAATTTGTTTGTAAGCTATCCAGAGACACATAGTGATTGGATGGATTAGAAATAGCCCAAACAAACAAACAAACCCCTCTGGAAAGAGACAGTGGATGGAAACCAGCTGTCTTTCAAAGTTTTTGTCTGAATACTGAAGCCCCAACAGGTCTGAGTGTATCCTGTGCTTATATTCAAACATCACAACCAGACTATCCAAGGTCTTCAGGAAAAGCCCGGTTTTGCAACTTGATCAAATTGTGCAGAACCGAAATCCAAACTCTTAAAAGCCAACCTAAATTCTGTTCAGACACACCTCTGTATTTCTGTGTGTTGGTTGCAGGCCTTTCTTAGAGAAGGCCCATTGACATCAGCGGCTCGTAAGTTAGCCACAGCGACTAAAGTCCTGTTGATGTCAATGGATCTATTTTAAGTTAGTTATAAAAGATCAATTTTAAGGACATTTCACTGGAGGCGGAGGCCGAGTTCACCCACACTATTGTGTTCCTGATTGCTGCGTACGGGTGTGAAAGCTGGACTGAGGTCTGGAAGAAAATGTGTATGATCGAAACACGGTGCTGAGGCTGAGCTTGGCAAATGCCCTGGACCAACAGAAAGGCAGTAAGCATGTCCTACATCAAGTCAAGTCAGAGCTTGCCCTGGAAGCCAAATGGATTAAAATGGGGGCTGCTGTACTCCAAGCAGTCCTCTATCTAAGGAGCAAAGCGCCAGAAGCCCCGCTGCCTGTCCACTGTTAGGATCTGGGCCACTCATTGAAAAGGCCACCATTTTCTACGCAATGAATGGCCAGGAGAGGCTGGCAGGAAAAGCCAGCAAAAGGAACACTCTGTTTAAGCACATGGTCCGAGCAGACAAGCGGAAGGCAGGCTGTGGCTGGAGGAATGTGCTTGCCTCCGTCAGGCCAGTCAGCTTGCACTGCTTCAAAAGGATGGGGTGCTGCCTTGGATCGCCTGGCAGCCTGGCTCAGCTCTCAGGTTCGGCCAGTCGCCTGACTCCGAAGCAGAGCCAGTGCTGCGGCACCAGATCGGTGTCAGTGACACCCAGCCCCGGACTTCACTATTTTTGGGATATGACCACAGGGTAGTCTGACTGCCCTGGGGCATAACCTCACTCCGGAGTTGTGTTGCTTCTCGGAAACACGCTGCTCTGCTCCAGCAAAGAGCTTCCGTGGAATCGGGCGGCTGCCGCCGCGGCTCCCAGGAGCACTGCCCAAGACCACGTGACTTTGGCCCAGTTCTCCCGAACGGCCGAGAGGCCAGTGAAGCAAGATGTGGCTTGTGGCTCACGCGACGGGTGATTATCTGCATGAAAATATCAAAATGGGGGGAGTGGGGGCTTTCACTTGCCAGCTGCCTTGGTGTAGGGCTGGATGTGAGTGGATGGATGTGAGCAAAGCTGCAGTTTGTGCAGGAAAGGGCCCCAAAACATTGGCAGGGGCGGCCCTGTAGGTTAGCTTCCTTTCACCATTTCTGAGATGGGTTTCCGTCTGGTCTTGGATTGTATGCAGTCTGTAAGGGGGCCAAACCACATGTGCCTTTAATTGCACAGTTTTGACCTTGCTGGCCACGGCCAACACACCAAGTGACCGTTGGGGTGTGTAGGTGACCTGGATTGAGGCCACCAAAGGGTTAAAGTCCCCTTCCCACACCCAAAGTTCCCCATCTGGATTGGTTGCCAGCACCTGTGCGTGTGCGTGTGTGTGTGTGTGTGTGTGTTGGCTTTAATAAAACAAGCTTTTAATCTTTGCTCTGCACATTAAGAAAGCAAAAAATGGCTGGCTGTATCACCACGTTTTAACTCACCAGGTTCTAAAGGGGATGTAAAGCTGCAGGGGACTGAATCGGGGCCCAAGCGCTCCGCCACCGAGTCGTGGCCCATCCCGAAACCCCTCCGCCCCAAGGCCTCCCCACTGCTCACCCGTCCCCAGCCTAATCTGCCTCCCTCACCAGACTGTTGCGAGTGGAAGATTATGGGCTGTTTTTACACCACTCAGGGGCCTTCCAAGCAGCTTCCAGGCAATTGCAGATAAAATATGGCACAGCAAATCAATTGACAAGGATAAAACAAGGGAGGGCACATAATCTGAGCTGCCTAAGGGAAGTGCAGGTAGAAATGTATTAACTGGAAATGGGGTATTGTGAGTGTCCTCCAGGTCCCTCCTGTAACTGCAGCTCAGAGGGTAGCAGCAAAGAGCAGAGGCTTCCCAGTACTGGCCCCTCCAGTATGGGTTCTCACCAGCGATGTCTGCCCAGCAGTAACATCATGGTCAAGCTTAAGACTGTCTACTTCCAAACCTTTGGCAGCACGTGATAAGATTCTAACCAGGCCTGGGATTTTTATCACCGATTGTTGTAAATAGAAACATAGAAACAGAGCGAGTCAGAAGGGGCCTCCCGGGCCATCTAGTCTGACCTCCAGCACCAGCCGGCTCCACTCGTGACATGCCCACCATGTGCATGTCCAGCCTATCTTTGAACACCCGCACCGACGGGGCCTCAACGACGACATTGCTTTGCTGTAAATCATTGCTGTATGTAAGCGGTGCGTCTCCTACGCTTCCTACCAGTTATTTAAGGGTTTGATCTTTTCTAAACTGCCCAGTGAGCTTCGGCTGTTGGGTGATTGAGAAAAATAGTAAGCGAGCAAAACGGCGTTAGGTCGATGCAGCGATTCCCTTTGGAGGTTGGATGAATACTGACGTGTCGTTTCTCTCTCCCCACTCCTGTTTGCTGCCTCCGCACACACAGAAGAAGCTCACAAGAGAGTGTGTTTTCCGTGAGCAGTTTGAAGAAAACTGGTATAACACGTACGCCTCGACCCTGTACAAACATTCCGACTCGGAGCGGCAATATTACGTTGCTCTGAACAGAGATGGCTCCCCCCGGGAAGGATGCAGGACTAAGAGACACCAAAAATTCACGCATTTTTTGCCAAGACCCGTGGACCCTGCAAAGACCCCCACGATGCACAGAGACCTCTTCCACTACAGGTGATGTTCTCTACCGCTGGAGCAGGAAGTGTGTATAAACTTGGGTTCCCAAGCGTTTTGCTGGCGTGCTGATCACCTCCCCTTTTATCAAATCTAGATAACGGATCGAGAAGCACTTGCAATGAATTCCTTTTTAAAAAGATGTCTACCGCGGTCGACTTTGCTCCTGTGGGAAGGGAAATGGAAGGCCTGGAACCTGCAGGGCCTTCTTTCCGGTGGGCCCAGAAAGGCAGCCGCTTGCGCGGGGAGAAGAGGCTGCAGCCGCGTGATCGAAGGGGGTGCAGGAAGGAAGACCACGGAAATGGCACGCATGTTGCGCACCAGCTTGGAAAGGATGCTCACGGGGGGCCCTCCTGGGGGTGCCACTGAATCTGCTCCTCGGATGCCCTCGCGGAGGCCCAGACAGCCGTGCCAGGTGCTGCCAGGCCAAGATCCTGGCTGCAGTCTCCGGATCACAGACTTCCACGGGGGGGAGACGGAGGACCAGCCTGGCACACTCATCTCGCACTCCCGGGACCTGAAGAAGGGTCGTGCACGTGAAGAGCGTGTGTGTGTGTGTGTGGACGGGTGTGCGCACATGTACACGTGTGGACGTGCCGGGTTACACGTGTTTCCTGCTGTTGGGGGAGCAAGAGCAGAGAAGGGTGGGTCAAGGAATTAACATTGTTAAGATGTATACATGATACTGTTCATAAGGACAAATCTATTTATAAAGTGTATATGATATTTATTTTATATATTTATTTATTTCAAAAATATTTTATTTTTAAAATGAGAGATATTATGGCCCAACTTTCATCCGAAAGAACGAGGTCTTAACTGAAATAGGAAAGGGGGGGAAATGGGTTTAAAGAGCTTATCGGCAATAAAATTGTCTTTATATGTTGTGGGTGGCTTGCTAATTTATTCCAGTCGCTTCCATTGTTAATTGAAGGCACACATAAAAGGCAGCAGAGCAGGGTGGGTGGGAGGGCGAGATGCTGTAAGCAAAGATGCATTTCGCCAGGGCGGTGTTCAGAAGGATCGGCCTGTTCGCAGGGAATATGGCAGGACAGCGTTTGACCAGCGCATCTTCAGCTTTTTGAACCACCTTTCAAATTCGTCCTTCAAGAAGCGGCTCGCTGTCTGTGGGCTGCTGTGGCGAGCATGGCTCTGTTGGGTGATCAGGCAGGCAAATCCAATGTTTCCTGCTCCCATTCAGTCTGTCCCATTCAGGATGAAGAGGTCAGCGTATGCAAGGGCTGCATTTTTTCTTGGGAAAATGTCTTGCAACCTCCCCTTCAGGGAACTTCCTAAAACCCACAATATTACCAGTGGGCACAATGTTTCTGACTGTACAGATGAGCAGCGCTTTACCCGGATTTGGCTTACCTTAGCAATAAAAATTCAGTTTCTCATGGGTGCTGTATCCTATTACCAGGGGTAAGTTGCAGGAAAAATAAAAGTTGGCCTAGAATGGAACCAATATTTAAAATAATCATTAAAAATAATCAAGCTAACGTTGATATTCTGCTAATCACACTCCCTAATGCACAATCCAGTGCAGTGCCTTTTTAGCTTACCTGCCCAACAATGCATCCAGGGAAATTTCCATTCTCCCCATTTTACAGATCGAGAAACCAAGGGCAGTTTGTGCACGATGCACGTCAGCTGAAAAACACATGGCAATGAATCCACTGGAGCTTCCTAGAATCATTTTGCTGGAATCTAGGACATGATTTGAATTCGGGGCTTTCCAATCCCCTTCCCAGAGTGAAGTCTAATTAGGGAACTTGGTTCAAATACGGAACTCCGGTTCCCACGAATCTCTTGCCATTCACTTCCCGACTGAGAGCCACAGTGCAGGTATTTCCTTACCTGTAGGCCTGGCCCCTGCCATGGTGGGCCCCCGGCCCCCAGAGGGAGAGGGGGGTCTATCCATTCGCCCTGCTGCAGCAGTGATCGGACACACGGAAGCTGCTGCGCTGGCAACAAACAATGACCCGCAAAGCAATGTGCGGCTTCGGCAGTCCGGCCCCAGGTGGCGCAGGGCGATTGCCGCAGTCTCCAGCCATAGGGACACGCCTGCAAAGCACGGGGAGCCGACCGCCCTGTGGGAACAGACTGCAGGCCAGCTCTGGGGCTGCCTGCCTCCCTTCTGTGAGGAGGAAGCCTTCCCTGGCATGGCAGCTGGTGCCGACGGGCCTCTCGCACAGCATCAGGGAACGGTAGGAGGAGGAGGAGGAGGAGGAGAAGGGCTGTGCCTTCTTCAGGCTTCCCGCGGCCCCGCGAGTCCCGCACACATGCCACTGAAGAGGTCTGTGCAAGGGGATTCTTTTTATAAGGCCATAGTTCTTCTCTCCATCCATGTGTCCGTCCACAAGGCTCCAGAAGCGAGAGAGGGGACAGGATTCACACTCTGACGAGGCTGAAGGGTGTGACGGAGGGGGAGCCTTCACCCGGTCCCACTCAAACTTGGTTTTGCCTTTCACGGAACCGGAAGCTCCTCTCCCCCCACATGCAGCACAGCATCCTTGACTGAAAGAATGAGAACATGTGAGACGCTTCTGTCTTGCCAAGACGAATGTTTCACTGTTTTAAAAATGGTGTTTGAATTGGGCAGTCGAGTTTCCTGTGCTGAACTCCACGGGGGAGCATTTGAGCACTTCAGCACAGGCCGATGTCACAAGTCAAACGGTTCACTTAAACTCATGCTTAGGAAAAGCATGCTTTTGGTTCGTGCTGACCTAAAATCAAAGGCCCATTTTGGCCAGAACATGCACGATTCAAAGATCGAACAAGAACATTAGCATTTAAAATAACACTTGGCTCCTACAAGCATCAAGCACCATCTCAGCTCTCATGACCCCGCACTGCTAAGCTGCTGTTTGCCACATTAGTAAAACGGCACGACAGACGTTCATTATTTTGGTCACTTTATTAAATGAGATATTAAATAGTTTTAAGTTTCAACTACCAAACAGCACTTTGAATGGTGAAAACACAGATAGCATACTGTCTTACTTGAATGCTTCTCTTTAAAAACACGTTTCCAGTCCTTAATATATATATTACAAAAGAGCCTTATAGGAAGAAGTGACATTTTTTCTACAGTACTTTTATGATATTTAATACGTAACTGAAAAAGCCGTCTAAACAGAAACAAAGGCTGAGTCTTCACAGCTGTATGGATTTCAGCAGCCAAAGCTGGTCAGGGGACTGAAACGTTACTATACAACTGGGACAAAAACATGTACAGTATCACAATACTAAGCAAAAACGCTTTACATCCAAAGGAATAAACAGGTTACAAAATGTGGAGAATTTTAGCAGGCAAAACTGTATTACAAGCAACATTTTTATTCATCGTCTTATATAAGCCATTTCAACTAGGTAAACATCTAAAACAAATATAAAAATGAGTTTTATTTATTGATGCCATTTTCTGTCTTTAAATATTGGTTAAAGCTTGGTGTTATACTCAAAAGCACGTTGTTATACAACTATAATGTCAAGTGAGAAATACGTCTGCAAAGTGGTCCAAGGGGTTGCTTCCATGCTCGCCGCCTCCAAGCCGGCATCCTGCTGCGGCTTGTCTTTCGGGTGGTTGAGAGTAAAAAAAGTGTCTTCAAAAACGCGGCCTTGGGCTCTCTCGCGCGAGTCTCTCGAGCTGCACAAAGGCCACTCACGATCCCAGCTGTACTTGGAAAAGGCAGGAATGTCCCGGGCAGCGGCATTTATTCCCACGCTTGCTTCTGAAGACTCCATTTTGTTTCTCCGGAAGCGAGCAAAACGACTTTTGGAACTTCTCCCTTCTCACCAGATTGGAAAACTGTACTGAATTACACCACAGGATTACTGGGGGCCAGGTTCCCCCCATGTCTAATCACAACAAACAAAAGCCAGCAACTCGCGGTTAAATCTGCTGTAAAATATCATGTTATGCTCCTATCACCAAGCAACGTTTGTTTTGAAATGAAATCTTCCCCCCAGATTAGCGATGCCTGGACACCAACATTCAGATAAGGAGCAGATAAAGTCTTTTTCCTTCACAACTAATTCAGAAAGCCCACTAGAATCCTTCGCTTTTTTAGCATTGTTTGGTATCAATCCCTGCCCTAGCTTTCCTGGGTCTCTGGAATGCCCGATGTTTCTTTGCTCCTACTTTAATAACCTCAATCGCACCTGTCATTCAGTTTTATGCCCACATTCTGAATAGTTCTCTCTGGAAAAATCAGCTAGACTAATGCAAGGAAAAGCTTTCATACTGCCAACCTGAATTTTCATAAGCACAGAAAATGACCATCCCATTTTAATGTTGTAGAAATAGCTGTTAACACAGCGTAATTAACCAGAAATGTACTTCTTTTCTAGGACTGACGCCAAAAGTAAAACCAAGCTGTTCCATATTCTTAAATGAATGAAAAATAGGATGGGAAAGGAACCCCGGGTAACAGGAGTACTGATTTATAAAAGAAGGAAATATTTCACAATTTGGGCAGCGCTGCAAACTGTGAACGCATGTTTCTTCATGCACAGAGAGAGCAGTGATTTGGCTGCTTCAAGGCTGTTTATTGAACACGTGTTCAATCCCGAGCACTGCCACCATCATTAAGCCCCCAAGTGCCAGGAATTCTTCTTCCTTAGCACCCCATCCTACTGCCGGCAACAGGACGAGACACTAGCACCAGTGGAAAGAAGTCACGTGGATGTGCTTTGCATCAGGATCCGCACAGGGTGGAAATACACTGGGGTGAAGGACAAGAAGTTACTCCATAGTATTTCATCACGCAGATGAAATAAAAGTGGCAGAAGGCGAGAGAAATTAGCAGTTTCTCAGGCCGTAACTTAAGGCTGCAGACACAGTTTCTAGAAAACTGCATGATTCAGAAGTTGCAGAGCAGTAGTATTTAAGAATATTGCACTCAGTTCTGTCTCAAGATCATTTTCAGTTCCTATGCTGTATCTTTCCATCACAAATGGTAAGTGTAGAACAACCCTCCGTATTAGTCCTGTCTTGACTTGTTTCACATTTCATGAAGGAATATAAAAAGTTCCATAATTTGAGGAATCAACTTTAACCAAGAACTCAGCTGTGTATATTTGCACGTGACAACCGAAATATACAGATCTGTGTGACCTCCCTAAGCTTCTCCCATTTGACGGCCGTTTTTATGGCTATTAACAGCAAGAATAGGAGTTCAGACAGGAAACCTGTGCAGCCCCTAACGTTATGGAAGGACCTGTTTTCACTGAAAACAACGGGATTATCTCCTGTACTCAACACATGTAAGAAGATTCTAGGCAACATTACTGACAAACATCGCGGGAACATCACGTCTTATCAAAAACAAAGCTAAAATGAAACATGGCGACTAAATGGGGGGAAATCGCCCAAACTCTTTATACAGTTGAGTTCTGTTAAGCCATTGATTCCTAAAAAAATAAAAAAATTCTCTCTCTTTCTCTCTCTGATTTTAACGCTCCTTAAAACTTTTAGTGCAAAATCACATTGATTTCCCTTGGGATGTTCCCGGGTTTTTGTCACTCATGGGGGGAGGTGCACGCTGCAGCGGTGGTGGGTGCATCGTGCCAGCGACCGACTGGTACATCCCTCTCATATCTATCTGCTGGAAGCTGGAAGGGTTCATGATTAAGCCCGGGGGCTTCGGCATCATCAGGTGGCTCATGGCGGCCTGCTGGTAGGACAGCTGCTGCTGCTGCTGCTGCTGCGTGTACTGCTGCTGCAGCCGCCGGTTCATCAGGATCCTCTGGACGCAGCCGATGAGCTGTGGAGGGAAATCGGAGCTGTGACGACGAGGGCACGGCCGGCCTCGGTGCCGTCGCTGCATCTGGCCACGGTGCCCCTGACAAATTGATTTGAGCCCTGAACTTGATACTCGCTGCGCCGCTATCACCGTCACTAATGTGGCGGCATTCGCGCGCCGGTGGCTCGAGGAGCCGGGCAGCGATCCCGCCGGGGACCGTGGTTCCCGATGACTCGCCCATTGTCCTGCAGGCTGCATTTATCTTGGTTGCCATGGGGACGGGCGCTCTCCTGTGAAATTGCTCCCATGGATCAGTTACAGCATTTTCTCCTCGGGTACCATTTGCCACCCCCTTGGAAATTTTGGTGGGAATGGCCAAACAAGCCCTTTGCGGCAAATGCCGGAGGAGAAAACACTTCCAGCTTGGCAGAAGGCCTTCTCAGGAAGTTTCAGGTTTTGCAGTATATCATGAAATCACGCAGCCCTGCAAAACTTTAGCAAACATGCATATTAAGAGGCATTAATTCCTTCAGGCCGAGAAGCAGAGCTTTCTACCAAAAAGCCTTTGGCTGGCAGGACACAATGTAAAAAAGACACCAGAAAAACCTGCATGGGACCACTTCATGTTTTGTTTGTAAATATGTATCCGTTTCGAAAGGAAAACGATTCTCTCCCAGCCATACCGAAGAGTTGCAATCTAGGTTGTGCGTGCCTGCTTTTCGAGCAATGTCAACAAACAAAATAAAGAGCCATACACAGAAATACACTGATTTCCATGCTGCTTTCCCAAAGAGCTCTGGGAGCCTTTGGAAAATCTTTACAACAGCACACTAAGGGAAGGGTATTCCTACCCTGTATCACAAAACGCAGAGTTGAGGAGGAAAGCAAACTGCTTCTTTACAGTCCTTCCTCAGCAAGTAAGGAGCAGAGCTGAGCTGTGAAGCAGGCACTCTCGCGCACGGCTCATTCTGAGAGCCATGCCGCCACCCTTGCCTGCTCTTGGACCATACAGTGTTGCTTCTTTATTTTTGCAAAAAACAGCTGCATCGCACCATGCATGGGCACCCAACTGCCAAACTTCACCATTAATTCCCGAGGGTGGCATCCTTTTCGATGCAGCAGGAATTCCGAGAAAGGCACATGAACTTCCTCCAAACTAAGTTAAAGTGCCTGGAAAAGATGCACGATTCTCTGCGCAAAGCTCAGCTCAACCGCCAAGCGAAGGAGACTGCTGCTTCGGAGGACTGGCCACACAGCCATGCTGAGTCACGACAGATGCATCTTGGGAGGGCGATGGTGTCAGGTTTATACAAACAACAGAAGCGACGGACTTTGCGTTCACAGAAAAACACAGTTAAGTAACAGTTCTCATCCAATGCCTGTCTACAGCCGTCTCCCCGTGCCCACCTGAACCATTAAACCCAACAGACGTGGGGGGTGCTTACCATCTGTTGTTTTGTCAGCACATCATTATAGATGGCCTCCCGGCGCTTAACATCCAACTCCTGGCTCGCTTGTCGGCTTAGAGCTAAAGCCTGAACCTGGGACTCCGTCAGGGTCAGATTCTCCTTCCACTGCAAAAAAAGAAAATGCCGCCAAGGGTTCGAGGACAGTTCTCACGGCATCTCATGTTGTTCTGGGAGGCATCAGCTGACTATGCCGTGAGAATGCAGCTCACTTTTTAGAAAGTAGTCTCAAATGCGTCTTCTGAGACAACGAAAGAAACCTCTCTGGGCAAATTCTGACGGGACATTCATCACAAGGATTGTTCTTCTAAGTGCAAGTTCTGCCTATTCCTGTATTGCACTTCACTCATCTGTCTAAACCAGTGGGCAATTCAAGCGGCGTTGCTTTGGGGCTGCCAGGGATTAATACCTGCAGAATGTACTATGGACAAGCTTCAAAAGAGCTGCCTGAGGTTCCACCCAAATACCTGGGCATTCCCAGTGGGAGTCTGTTCCCCCTTTTCATGGGAGATTGTTGCGGACTGGGGTAGAGGGGGGCCAAGAGAAAAGCAGATTCCAAAAGGATGACGGCATGAACATGCCGAGAGAGACGTACATGATGATACTCTAAAAATGTGTATGGACTCTTCTCTGTGCTTCTGTGAAGCTGTTAATCAAAACATGTGTTCACAAGAAAACAACTTGATGCCAATCATTAACACAGTTTTGCCCTGTCAAAGTCATGTGTTTCTAAACTTTGTAAAAAGATCAAATTCACTTCTTGCTAGGACATTGATGGGATGCCAGGTTAGTAACATATTTTGGCACAAACTTTATTCACAAAGCTCCAAACAAAATGGAGCTTAGGCAACGACAGTGTTATGTAAGCATTTTTCGCATGCACAAAGAGCTATACAATTTGGAACTCCAGACACCTCCAAAGTCCCACTGATTTCAATAAAGTAGAACTTATTTGTGTGAGATTGTGTGTCCAGAAATCCTCCAATTAATAACTCACTCATTTCATCATGATACCATGACAGAAGTCAGTCTTAAGTGGCTGCTTTTTGGGAAGTGCTCTTAACATGTCGAAAGGTTTTTGGCTCAGGCCACCAACAAAAAGCAAGGCCTGCTGTCTTACGCAAACTTATCTGAACGGGAGCACCACTTAATACAGTGCACAATAACTGAGCACAGAACTGGGCTGGAAAAAAATCTAAATGAATGAAAATGTCGCAACATTCGAGCCCCCGAATTAATTTGTGGTTTCAACATTGCCACAGGAAGAGACAGAACAAGAAGCAACTCAGCCGGGAGTCTGCACCTGATGCAGCTCTCTGAAACCCGCCCAGCTCCAGAGCAAAAATACCTCACATTACCCATCAGTGCACTTACTATTGTAGAAATGATATCTTCAAGGGGCTGAATTCTTGCTCCAGTAACATTGTTTGTTGCTTCCACAACTTTCTCTCTGCCTTGGTTAATAAGATCCTGGGTGGAATTTTAAAAGGATTCGGGGTTACTGAATAGCAATAGACGGATTCGTCCAGAATGCAAAATCCCGCCCCACGGGATGCAAGCAGCGTCCGATCCCCTGCGTGCCACGGAGAGGAAAGCGATCCATGCAGTGTTTTGCAGGGGGCTGTGGGAGGGTCACTCGCCAGTTTCCCCATGCATTTCCCCACAAGCTATGAAGCACTATTAGTGGGCGTGGAACTTCTGCAATGTAATCCAGAGATCAGTAGCTCAAGGCACGATCCTGTGCCCAGCACCCGCGACGTGCAGTAGCCTCTGCAGCGTGGCGGCTTCGTGTATACCCCACATCTAGCCTGGTGGCCATTTCCCAACATCTCAATAAAGCTCCAGGGAGGGGGACAGGAGGGGGCTGGGATGCTGCTGGGAATCAGCTTCAGCCTGGGCCCCAGACCCCTCCCCTGCCTGCGCCCCCCTCTTCTGCCCTCTCACCTCGGCAGAAGCAGCCAGTGTGGTTCTTTTGGCAGCGGCTGAATGGGAAGAGGGCAGGACTTGGCCTGTGGAACCCTGAAAAGTCCTGTGCCCCCCACCCCCAAGACAATCCCAGCTGGGAGGCCAAAGGACTTCACCCTTGCAAGCAAATGCGCAGCACCTTCACTGTGAGGAAGGGGAGAGCACTGAGATTCAAAAAGCCCCTCCTCCAAAATACTTCTTGAAAGATTCAGCCTTCAGTTCTATTTCTTTACTGCTCAGCGAAAGAACTGTGCTCCATGGTTAGGGGGTGATCATTTGACTAGGTACTCGGGATACAGCAAGAACTGTGCCGTGGCGATTAGGAATTCCCCACCTACCTCCAGCTGTTGGTTGCTCATAGCAGACAAGGCTGCCAGGTTGAAAGGAATATATGGGGTTTGAGAGTTGAAGTTGGTCTGGAACATATTTGTCCCTGCTGGTATGTTGAAACGCATCGTCAGGCCCTGAAAAACAGGTGGCTCTTCTGAGTGACAGAACGTCAAGAGAGAGTTTGATCAGCCCCTAAGCGTTGGTTGTGGCCCCAAGACCAGCTCAATAGAGATGCGTTCAGAAACGAGGTTGTACTGTCTAGAAGCAAGTAATGGCTCACTTACTGATGCGGTGGAGCAGGTACAGAAAAAGAGTACCGACTAAGCCACTGAGATGACTGTTTTTTAAAACATACGTAAAGCAGTGACGAGACAGGAAACCCAAAGAGTTTCAGGCACAAATTGCATATTCCTTGGGGATACAGCTCAGGAGGAGATCTTAATTCACCAAAAATGCACCTGTCCTTCATCTGGTTGTGCTGACTACAGGTATTTTCAAAGAGAGGCTTCATGTCAACATTTTGCTCATTTTGACGTAGCAATCAAGTGTGTTCACAAGGGGCTGTTGTGTGCCCACGTGGGGGAGGGGGGGGGAGAGAGAGAGTTCAACACTTCAAGAAACCATACACTGGGTCAGTGACCAAACAGCGGAGTGTGTCCTTTAGATTCTAAAGCGGAGAATCTGTTCACTTCCATGGTCCTTAGGGAGCGTTTTCTGTTTCTCTCAGGCGGCTTCTCACGGAGGCTTGGTGATGCTGCCTGACTGTACGGGGAGTCGTGCGGCTAACAGGGCAGCTTAGAAATCCAATACATAAAATACGGCAGGACTGGCAAAGCACACTCAGGAGTGAAGGAAAGATCAGAAAGACCACAAAGCTGCAAACTCTCGCCTGCAGAGGCATTCATGTCTCAGAAAATGAAATTCAGTATGTCTGAAAGGTCTGAGTGTCAAAGGCAGCAGTTCGGACTGACTCACAGTCCGAACCCCTTCAAAGAGCCACTGAACCAGAAAGAGAAACCCGAGTCATGGGCAAGAGCCCCTTTCCAGGCTGCACTGGGCCAGGGAGACGTGCAGGCACCTATCTCCACTACAGGCGGGGGGAGAGGCGCCCCGCGTGGCCCCGGGAACAAGGCCCCCTTGGGAACACGGTGCCAGAGGAAGACCCAACACGCTGCAGGCTCCGTGGGTTCAGGGGCAGGCAAGGGCCGCCAGAGAGCCCGGGGAACCTTCTGGGGGCTTCACTGGATCTCTGGCATGCGACGCAGCCTCTGGCCCTCCCTGCGTCAACCTTCGAGGGGTGCGTGCCAGAGCCGCCTTTCGCCTCCTCCCCTGGCATCCAAACCTGCAGGTCAAAGTCTGCCGTGGGTCAATCGAGGTTTGTGGCAGCTTCTCATCACATGCTCACTGCAAGTAAGCTGAAGTGAGCCTTTGGAAAAGGCGCCTGGGCGGGAAGCAGGCTCTTGCCAGTGGCAAGGGGCATGGCTGCCTGCGCCCAAGAGGGGGTCCGTTTCCTGAAAAAGGGGTGAAGGATCCCTACCTTCTTCTCTGCTTCATATTCAGCCCAGGCTGCCTTTCTCTCCTCCTCAGTCAACTCCTCTTCTTCTTTGTGGTCCAGGAGGGAGTCGTGCTCGTGATAGCCAACAATATGCTCCTTATGGATCTGCAGCAGTTCAGCTAGAAGTGTATCCTGGTGAACAGAAGCAGAAGGGTACTCGGTCAGGACCTGTGACAGCAAGTGCTGGATCGCTGCAGGAGGTTTGCTGCGGCTGCCACCTGGCGGAAAGCAGAAAGCGGGCCTTCCCGGCAGTGCGGAACACCTTCGCCCTTGGCGTGCGGGAAGCACCAACGGCTGTGCGTTTCCTGCCTTGCAGCAGTTCGCTGGCTCCTGTTCCTCTGACCTGAAGTGGCTCAGCTGAAGACTGTTTTGATTTTAAAAGGGCTTGTCACTGTTCCGTGTTGCGTTTACGCTTTAGGCCATTTCTCTGCGGACATACTGCAGCGCACTGTCTATGCTGGAAGCTACTTTGGGATATCTTTTTAACTCTATTCAAGTGGCCTACAAATCGATTCGATTAGCACACACAGACACACACGCTCTCACTGCATTTTGAGGGGTGGTGACACCCCCTTGTAGCAAATGCGCCGTGTGCCACAGAGCGTCCGCATGGTCCACTGCAGACCAGCACTGAGAAGACGTGGGGTCGGAGTCCCACAGCCCACGAAACCCACTGGAGAACTTGGACCGGTCCCCAAGCACCTGGAGCAACCCGGCCGATACCGGCTGTGAAGGAAGGAGCAAAGGCACGGGCCTGACGAGAGAGCGCTCGTGCCTGCAGGGCGAGCACAGGCACACGCTGCAGCCCCCAGAGCTCTCTCAGAGCGAACGCAAGCCTGAGAGGCGCAGGTCCCGGAACATGTACACAGGATCAAGGCTCGCAGGAGGCAAGAAAGGTGCATTCAGAAAGAGCAGGGAACTGGATGGGCATGGGGAGGGAAGGGCCAGACTCAGACATTCAATCAGCACAATGCAGGCTCTCTTATTCTCCACCTCACAGGACTTTAAATGGCTGAGCGCTCTTAAGCATGCATGTGCATTAGTCCCCATGGTAACAATACTGTGGAATACAGTGCAATTTAATCCATACACACCATGCCAATACAGTCATCAGAATCTGGTTTAAATTATATTCAACTGGGTAGATCTGCATTTCTTTGGCTGAAATGCAATTTGTATTCACTAAGGTCAAAGCCTGGAAGGTAAAACTTACACTTTCATCAAAAAAAAAAAAAAAATCAATAGATTCATAGTTGAAAATATCTCTTTGTTGCAGAAGTCAGTATTCCAAAAGCACAAATCTATTTGCCATCCAGAAGATATTGCTGTTTATAGTGATACCACAGATGTCTATTTTTATATCACAGCATACAAAATCTCTCTAAAATTACTTTCCGGATTTGTAAATTTGAAAGAGATTAGTATGCTTATAAGATCCAGTGCTAAAAACCCCCCCAACAAAAATGCTTCAGCAGAAGCACTAACAGGAAGAACAAATGATGTAAAAAAGCAAGAAGCAAAGCATCTAAGTCTTGTGCAAACAAAGCGGTAGCACAGCAAGCAGCAGTATTTTTAATGCTTTTCTAAGAAATTGTGCAAAGATCATTTTCCTACCAGTTGGAAAGCCTTGCATGCAAACTGTGAGACACATAGGCGATTCCAATCAAGATTGCCAGTTGTGTTCTTACAGCGTTTGATATTTTGCAAAATAAATCAAGAGGACGCAGTTATTCGGCTACTGCTGTTTGTGTACCATTTGTCCAGCAAGTTTTCGAACCATTCTGACTTCTAGCACGTCAGGGTGCCTTCTAGCTCATCCGTGCTCCTTCACTTAAAGGCAGGCAACATACACCAGCCTGCACACAAGCTGCAGACATCAGCCTGACGAGAGAATGCTTCCTGGGTATGATTCAGCAGACAATAGTACATAATACTCATCAGTGCTTAAAAAAAGATATTGCCTCAATAAGCAATTTATTGCCATGCAGATGGTAAGAAAAGTTTTATTGAAGCAAGTTGGATTCTTGTTTTGTTTTTAGTACTGATGATGGGCTGCACCAGATGCAGCAACATCTGTTCAACTGACAGGCCAATCCTGAACAGATCTATTCAGAAAAAAGTCCCGGTGATTTCAATGGCACTTATTCCAAGGCAATTTTTATTACAATTGAAATTGCCTAATATAGGAAGGAATGAAGGCTAAGTCTCCTCGGCTGTACTTGCCATTGCTACTTGTTAATACGCACAGAAGAGAAGAGACCTTTAGAGGAAAACTATGTCATAAGTTTGGATTTTATGCCTTTCTTTTCAGTTCTGTTCACAATAAATAGAACTGCCTGGTTGTACCATTCACCTTGCAGATAAAATGTATGCAGAGTCATTGAAAGAAAAGCCTTAATAACAGCAAATTTGATCACCAGCAGAAATAATTAGAATGGAAATTTAGAATTATCTGAGGCATTTTAAACAAGCAAAAATCTCCCAGAATACAAAAATTAGAAGGCCACACGAGCTGAAGAATAAAGTCAAGAAGGAACCTAAATCTGTGGAAATCAAGTAAAATCCTTGTAAGTAGCTATTTTGGTTAGGCAGGTCAGCAGAAGATGATCGGTAAAAGTAAATCAAAACCAGTGAAACAGGAAATCCCCGACTCGGGACTCTGCGCTCCTACAGATCTTTGCCCAGCGACTGAGGGCCCGCTGTTACAAAGGGGACTTGGCAGAGAAGGGGTTTTCAGCTGAATAAATCCTCCAGGAAATTGATCCTCATACACATCAGAGAATATGGCGAAGCGAGTACTATGAAACTCAGAAACTGGAGTCTTCACACTCTTGAGCCCAAGTCCAGAGTACAAATGCTTCGCACACGGAGATGCCTGCCGTGGGAGTGACCCTCCAGCAGGCGCGCCAGTGAACTCAGCTATTGTGTGGAAGGCAGCCTGGAGATGACGACTCCATCTGGTATTCTCCCAGGTCAGGGATTCTTTCTTGCTTTTTCGGTGGGGATATTGTTTTAAAGCAGACCCACCCCAGTTCCCATTTGGTCCCACATGTCTCCCTGCCAAGTCTGAGGATCAAATTCCTTGTTTTAAGATGCAGGAAGAATCCCTTGCACTGCCCAGTTCTGCAATGACGAGCTCAGAAAGAAAATAATTCTCACGACTGCTGCGACAGACGATAACAGAGAAGAATATTTTAGAGGGAACATGTGCCACTGGACCTTCGGTACGGATCGAATACGGCAATTTCCTGAAAAATCAACTTTATCCCAACTTGTGTACAGTTGCCGTTGTCAGTATCCTCCCAGAAATCCAAATCTCTAGCTTGGAAGTGCAGAGGGAGGTCCTGGCAGTGGTCGGGGAGGGGAGCTGCCTGCTCTGAGGTCCGAGTGGATGTGTGCGCGCTGCAGTTGGACTGGGGTGTTCTTAAGGCACACCGATCAGGCTTGCGTCTAGCCTGGGAAGGCAAAGAAACCTGCCAAAGAGGACATCAGCCTGGCCTTGTGAATCTTCAGAACAAGCACCAGCCAATAATGCTTTGTGGGACATACAAACGCCTCAACATAAAATTTAAAACCACGTTCTGAAGCTAAGACAGACTGCATCTCTCGTACCGAAAAAGAAAAGGAAAAGCTCGCGGAGAGGGTCCAGCTCAGACAGCACTACAAGGTTGTTTTTAAGCAAAGCACGTTGCTCCTGAAGGTGCTAGCTGTGCATATTGGCTTACTTTGGGCAACACTGGTGTGTCCCTTTTCTTCTTCTTCTCTGTATTAGGATCATCCAGCAAATCTGGATCAAACGTGTAGAGCTCCGTGAGTTCGTTCATGGTAAAGTGGCGCTCAACCTGCTGCTGGTCGACGACCCGGAAAGACAGCGACTGCTTAGTCACTTGACGATCGTAGATCTTGTCTTCCATCGTTCCCTTAAATACAAAAGGCATGACACTTTATGCCTGCGAAAGGAACTACTTAATCACGTGAAGTCGGTGACTATCATCACGTGATCTGCCGACTTAGTTTTGAGCAACTGTGCCGGGTTTGCCAATTGTGATCTTTTCTGGACGAGGAAGGCCGAGTCTGACCTTGCACACTGACTGCTTCCGAGAAAGGCCGCCTTGCAAGGCAGGGATGAAGCCACAATTCATTCGTCCTGAGAGGATGCTTGCGGGAGCAAGACTGTCGGCACAGCTCACCAACCCTGCACCAATGACACTGCTTACCCGTTCATTCCCAGAGCCAATTGAGCATGCTGCCATTAGCCTTTCCAGCTCCATGAGGCCAAGGACCATCTTATCGAAAGGACCAGGCTTGACCTGAGCCCAAGAGCAGCATTGCAGGCCGTGTTCTCCTTGCCATCATTAGCAAACAGTGGGCCACTAAGAAGCTGCCAGCCAGCTCCGGCAACTTCAGAATAACCAGCCATTCTCATTAAAGTTAAAAAAAGTGACTGGGAAATAGCTGGTTCCTAAAGGGCAGAACCGCTGCACAGCCAAAAGGGGCAGTCAGTAATCATATTATGCACTCTCCCTAGATAGTATTTCAGTGTTTTAGCTTAAGCTATAGTAAAGCTGAGAAGGTTCCATATAGCTTATGGAATGCTTCCATATAGCCTGGAGTGTCTGGTCCTGCCTAATCTTGGAAGCTAAGCAGGCCCGGGCCTGGTTGAAATCTGGATGGGTGACTTACTGTTGTAAACTACCCAGATTGCTTTGGCTATGGGTGGTACAGAAATGTGAATAATAGTAGTAGTAGTAGTAGTAATAATAATGTGGACAGCATAAATAGGTAACATAATGAGAGCCAGTGTGAGGGTAAGCGTGTGAGGCAGGGACTCGGGCGGCCTGGGCTCCAGTCCCCACTCAGTCATGGAGCTGACTGTGTGACTTTCAGCCAGTCACAAACTTTCAGCCCAACCTACCTCACAGGGCTGTTGTGAGGTAAGATTGAGAGGAAGAGGAGAATGAGGCAAGCCCCCTTGAGTTCCTTGAAAGGAAAAAGGCAGGGCATAAATATAATAAATAATACAATAAACAAAGGTAAGTGCAAGATCTTTTTATATTTTCCCGTTTTCTAGATCTTTAAAAAATTCTGATCTGCTTAACAAGCTGCTGGTTTCAAACCTACCTGAGCCAAGAACCGGTACACAAACACTGGTTTATTTTGCCCAAATCGATAAACTCTGAAGATACTCTGGATGTCATATGTTGGATTCCAGGAAGCATCAAAAATAATTACTCTATTTGCAGCCACAAGATTGATCCCAAGAGATCCCGCTTTAGTGGAGATAATAAACAAACGGCCTCTGCAAAAAACACACAACATTTAATTCTACTCACATGTACTCCAGGACAATCAAAACAGCTGCTCAGCCCACCAGAACGTAGAAACCAGTAACACTTTTGTGAGTGTCAAAGCAAGGCACACACTTAAGAAATCCCTGGAAGCTAGTATTGTTGCTTTGTATTTCGGAATGGTTGTTCAACTGGTGGCTCCATATTTTATAACCATGCATGACTTTATTTCACCTTGACCCAAGGTGCAAATAACTAGGCTGCAAGAGGACTACAGTAAAACTTATTACTTCAGATCAGAGAAGGGAGGAAGAAAGAAGGAACAGAAGTGACCATATGGAGTTCCCAGTCACCAAGCCCTGGACTGGCAGGCAGCATGAAGGCATCTGAACCAAGGTGTTGTAAAAATGAAAAGCAAACGACTCTCAGTACGCCAAGGAAAAGGCTGTTAGACTGCTGAAATACATCGGCGTTCTGAAGAAGCCTGCTATACTATACGCATACCACGAACTCCTGAAATGGGACGCTTACCAGCTTGGAGAAAAGTATTTGGTAAAGTGGAGGTGCCAAGCAGCTAAGAGCTTAACAAAAGGCAAGACAACCCAATTAAATTGGCTTGCATAAAATAGCCTGTTACAATGCCAGGACAGTGAGGCAACTGAAAACCAAGACTTGCCTGGGAGGGCTTAGGCATGTTTAGCCTGGACCTGAGAAGGGTGGAGGGAAATATGGCAGAATATCTGGGGGACAGTGATGAAGAAGATGGAGCCGATATACTCCCTGCTGCTCCAGAGGTCAGGAAGAGAAAATGCAGAGAAGCAAATTCCGGCTAAACACGAAGAGAAGCTGCTTAATTGTCAGAGCTGTTCAACAGAGGAACGGACTGTTCTGGGAGCTGGTGGGTTCTCCTTAACTGAGGACAGTGTAGCACAACAGCCGCCTGCCAGGGTGCCACCCTAACTGCCCTGCAAATACTTTTACCCCGTCATTTTCCTCCAGGATGAGCAAAGGGCTGCCCTAGATGGCCTCCGAGGTGCGGCTGTCACCCCATTATTATTTGCACTGAGGTTTCTCATGGAAAAAATACATAAGGGGAACGACGAGACATTATTATTTTTGCTGAAAAGGAAAGTGAGGGCTTCCTGGTTTATTTTATGCACTGTACAGACTTGTTTGTTCTTTCAAAAAAAAAGGGGTGTCTTTAAACTATAAACCCTGAAAATATGAAATGGAGACACAAGAATGTAAGGAGACTCTTGCCATGAATACAGAATATCGAAGTGCCACAAAAGTGGAGAATGCATCTTGGTAAACATTAAAAATGTATTAGGCTGCATTGTTATGAAGCGAACGAAAACAAAAACCCTTTCCAAAATGTGTAATATGACTTAGCAGAGGGATCTTCCAGTACAATTCTCATATACAAAAGAACACTGGTGTGACATATTTATTATGTTCAGATATTGTCCAAATCCACAAAACATGTGCCGAGAATTGCAAGCATCAAAGGTCAGGACATGTGGCAAAGGAAACCCCGCAATCAACGAACTCCATAGGAAGCCTTTAATGTAATGACAAAATGCCTTTCTTAAATGAAATCCGAACATCAAATGCATTTTTTCTCATTAGGGGTGGAAGTAACTAATTGTGCCCACAGCAGGGACCAAACCAAGGCAGGGCAGAGAAAGGACAGGCAAGAACGGACTGGGCTAAACCTTTATTGCTGGCCGCTTGCAATGTGGCTGGAAGGGGAAAGACGGACAACACCGGATGGAAACACGGAACAACTGCTATCCATCTTGCACAGGGCAGGTGCAATGAATACCCCAAGAAGTAAATGCACCACCTCAGGCATGTTAATGCCCAGCGAAGCCCTCGCAAATCACATCCTCAGCGCTTACGCTGGAGAGTGAGGGTGCAAGGACGGGCAACGCAGAGGAGCAGCAGCACGGGGAGCCAAGGCTCCGGCTGGGCAGGCACCAAGGATTACTGCCCAGAGACACGTGCGACACACGCCTGACAAAGGGCTGTGGAACAGACCGTGCGACACAGTGAAAAGAGCTGGCTGCACGTTGTACGTAATTTGCAAATAATATTGTCAATAGTTTGTCATTACTCTTTTTAAAGCTTGCCAAATCCTTGCGCTCGGCTGAGGAGATGCTCCGAGGGCGAAACAGGGTGATGGCACGGAGGCCTGTTTTACCAGGTCGAACAAAGGCAACGCTACGTGAAAAGGACGACTGATCTGGAAAAAGATCCTTAAAATAACGCTGAGCATTTTGTGTGAGGATGCATTCCATATCATTCAGTTTTGTTTTCAGTCAGTACCTCATGATTTGGAAGCTTGTGGATGGAGGCAGTGTCAGAGCATCTATTTTGGGTAAACCCCACCAAAATGCTGTATGCTTGGAGGCAAAATGGCACATATATAATGCATGTATACCATGACTATACATCTCATATGTATTATGAAATAACCTAAAAAGCACCCAGAATATACCCATTTTCATGCATATTTTTGTGGACATCCCAACGCTCGGAAAAGAGGTTCGTTACCAGATATGCCAAACCATCTTGGGCTAGCGGAAGCAATGATTTGTGTGTCACGAGATGCTTACCTGACATTAGTGACATCATTAAATTCTTCGGCCCATTTCTTTCTGGACTGAGCATTGGTAGAACCATCCAAACGATAGTAATCAATGTTTCTAAACCATTTCCCTTCACCTGGGAATTCAAAAGGCAAGCTGTTTTATGCAACAGAACAGTAGCACGGGTACAAACCCCACCAGCTGACAGACCAATTCTTTTCAAAAATAATTTATAGAATAAATCAGACATACATATTAGCATATTGATAAGCAGCTCAGACTTCCAGTTCTTCCCACAGGGTTCCCTAAGGGTGTGGGTTAAAGCTCAACAGGAGGTATTTTCTCAGTCCCAGGAATTCCTACTTTTTCCCATGTGCTGAGTGGAAAAAGAACCTGTCCCAGTTTGACAGGTACTATTTTGGAGAATAGGACACAGTCAAAACCTGCTAGAATACAAGGTGAATTAGGAAAGCTCACTATCTAACTTCCACATATGAAACATTTCATTGTAGGAAGCAGGAAATAAATGTTTTAAAACAAGAACCAAGCAAAACAAGAACTTGTCCATTCAACAACCATACTTACCTTTATATATTACAGGTTTACCCTCTTCTTTGTCCCGGTTTGCTAGCTCTAGAAAATCTTCTATCAAATCCAGTGATATCAGAGATTGGCTGAACACTAAACTGAAAGGTGAAAAAAGGCAAAATAATTTTCCATTTCAACATATTTAACTAGCATATCACTTGTCATCACTTCATTACATTAAACAACTTGCTCTAGGAAGGTATTAATTTAAGGAAGTGCATTCCGAAAAGCTAGGTGTTGGCAGACAGGGCTGAATGCACAGTGAGTTTGAGGGGCATGTGTGCCATACCAAGGACGAATGTTTCAGGGTCTTCCTGGCTGGCTGGAAGGACTTACACTTTATCCCCAAGCTCTTCAGCCATGCGAAGAATTTCAAAGAGGAGAATCATCTTCCCAGAATGCTCCAGAACTTCAGCATCTGCTTCAGTGACGAAATCTTTGTACCAATCTGGAGCTGGACTTCCTGGTTCGGAAGAAGAGGCGCCCTTGCCTTGGAGAAACCAAATAGACTTGTTACGGGAAAAAGATCTCTCCTATTCCAAAGCCGAGTCTTAAAACTTACAAAATAGGCTTGTTCTACAGGGGGAAATAATAGATTGCAGTGCTTCTTAGCCAAACTTACATGATGGGCTGGTTCACTGCATCATGCTGTCACTGGAGAGCATGAGCAGGGCGACTCCCATCACCAGGTTAAGGGGAATCTCTCCCCTCCTGTGCACAGGAGAATAGCTGTTGGAAGACTGTGCTAATTGCTAAAATCATTCATCATCTATGTGGAACTGCATGTTCAAAACACCTTCCATACATTACACATAAAAACAGCCCTGTTGGGATACTGGGTGTTGTGTATTTTATAACCTACATTATGGCAATGCATTTAATAGGCCAACCCATAGCCACAAAACAATATGCAAGCTTTTGGCTTTGAACAGGCAAGATGGTAAAGAAAACAGCTGGGACAGGGGATGGGGTGGCTGATGTTCATGCCATCTGCATTGCATTACAATCTCAAGATGTAACGAGAGAGGACTCTGCAGACATCCAGTTTAGACGGTCAGGAGCTGAGAGTTTCGGGCTGCACCTAGGACATTCTCAAAAGCTGTTTGGATAGAAGGAAACAAAGAAACTTTGTTCCTCCCTTTTTAAAAAATATAAAATAAAGCTGTTACTTGGAACTATCTCCATCCTTAGGTGAAACACAGAAGTTCTTAGTAGTTGGAAAAGGACATAAAAGCAGTTTTATCCAATGTAGGATTTATTTTCTTTTTAAGGCAAAAAATATTCAGTAGGTGCATACTGAATTTAGATGCACAATTCTTTGTACCGTTACAAGGTGTTTTGATACATAGATCTGAACTGAATTTGTTCTGGAGAATCCGTAAAGTCCATTAGATGCTTGCCAATCTGGTCATGGACCATAATAAACAGATTTGCATTAGACATGTACATTCCTTTCGCTGTATTGGCACCAGTACTCGCACAAATCCATCTACAGCCTTACAACTTGATACTGGATTCCAGAGTTGTCTTTATTTATGTTACCTACATTCCTCAGTCCGAGTTGTAGTTCTGTGCCTTTAATCTCCACTTCATTAGTGTGTTATATACACACTGATTTATTGTAAATACAGCAAAAGCCTTCTTCCTCTTTGATCTGGCTATTTCCATGGAATTCTTTCCTCGCAATACCTTACAGGTTAATTCAACACACTGACATGCTAAAACCACGTATAAAGCAGACTTGCTGAGGGGAGATCCATCAAGGAAGCCATAAATATTTAAGCAGATACCCCATCACAGTGCAGTAATACCCTTTGAAAGCGGGGGGGGGGGTTATCTTTTTGCTTCCTGCATTTGTGGAAACAGGGTTTGAAACATGCGGAATGCAACAAGGGTGAGTTAACCTCTTCAGCCTGCAGGAAGGAACTGGGACATACAGGCAGAGCGAGGCCTTTAAGCTTTTCAGCTACCTTTTCATTAAAAACAGTTTTACCTAATGCCTGGCACTTCTTCCTCCACATCCTTGCTCTGACAGGTGGCCTGATTGTAAACACGTGTACTCAGGTGTATGTCCCAAGTGTGACACAATCCCAGCCCCGATACCAGAGTAGAGATTAAGAAGGCACGTCAATGTTTTTAACACAAGTCTGCTCCAACCACACCGTATGAAGGGCAGACTAGAGAGGCAAGGTTCCTGCCCACTAAAAAATTATTCAAGTTTTTAAATTATTTTAAAAGCTGACCCTTTCTTGGTCAGGCTTCTTGTCAGTAAGGAGGATCCAACCATTCCCCCAGATAGTTCTGGTTGCTCTCTGTTGATCCTTCTTCAACTTTATGAGGCTGGAAGTCCAGAATGGCACACAGTGTTCCAAAATGTAAACAAGATCATCAAATTATGATGCTACTTAAATGTATCCTGTTCCACCTGCCAGGGTATTTCCACACAATTCCTAATGCTCCTTGCGTTGCTGCTGCCACTGAATTCATTGGTTAAGTGACTGCCTACCATGAGCCCCAGCATTTTCTCCTTCCAGTCTTCTCCAAGCATTCTGCATTAGCTAAAAATTCCTTGTTACCTTCTTCCGTCTTGGCTGGAGGAATGCTGGCTGGTTCTTCCGTGTTTCCTTCTCCGCCTCCACGAGATCTTGAATTCCAGACTTTAATCACTTCAACATCATTATCGCTCCCACTCTCACTGGAACTGTTGTCTTTCTTTGATTTTTTGCCCTTGGTTTTTTTCTTCCTATAAAAAATAGCATGTAATGCTCAGTGCTAAAAACTGCCCGAGCTTTATTTTTTTTTATCGTAATTGCACATCACGCTCGGATTCCACCAAGGTTCACGATTTACGTGGAACACTCCGACTTACTTAGTACATTCTTCGGAGCTTAAGCTCATCGACGTTTCATCCGAATCTGATGCTATGAACTCATCGAGGCTGTCTTCATCAAAATAGCCCTAAAGGGTGGGGCATTTTTACAAGAGGGTAAAAATTAGCCATCCTCGCTTAAGCCTTCAGAATATTTCAGTAAGAGGTTTTAGTAATACCCAGAAAAAATGTTAACGGCCACAATGAAAATAGCCAGAAAAAACCCCCAGCTAGCTATCATACAGCAAAGAAATTTCCATTAATTCAGGGAAACACTCTAGGACTTGGCATGTCTCGCTGAAGAGCTTTTATGAGAGAGACAGATAGATTGATTTACCTTATTTTCTTTGCTAATATAGTCCAGCTGCAGACACCAAGGATGAGTCCAAATTCTGCTTAACATCTGGAAATCCTGGAAAAGTTTAGCTCCAGCTTTCCCTCTTCCACCTTCACTGCTGTTGCCGACACCTGACAAGAGTTCAGAAGTTAAGCTAAAATATTCAGACTTGAAAGAAGTTAGCCAAACAATATTCCCTTTCGTGCCATTCCCCCCACCCCTCCAGATCCACACAGCTTATTCCACAGATGCAACACCACTTCTGACAGAAGTCAGATTATTCCCCTGGCCAATTAAGTGCATTCTTTAATTGCATCCCAAAAAAATCATTCACCTGACGAAGGATCTATTCAGAGAACCACCACGTCTTAGTGAAAACACGGAGCTGAGAATTAGATGACCGAGCTCCCACTGCTGACACCCTTCTGGCTCAGGTGACGGCCACCAGAATCACCCTCTTTATGGCCAATCATTCTGGGAATGGGAGGGGCAGCCCCTCCAACTCCCCACCATGAAAGTCTGCTCAGGACACAAGGTCTTGGCAGGGCACCAAGAGACCCATTAGGCGAGCGAGAAACTGCGAGCTGACCTCTGGAGCATTTGGGACCGCTCGAGAGGCCGGCAGAACACTGTCTGACTTTCCTCCCTGATTCATCCTAACAGCCAAGTGTCCAGGAAGACCCCCAGAAATTCCAAAGGCAGAGATAGAAAGAGGGAGATCTTATCTATCTTTATCACAAAGCTGCGAACTATCAGGCACTCCATCGTGGCCCAACATCTTCCAACCCTTTCTCCCTGGAAAGAGAATGGATGATGTCATCCAAATCTTTGCACATAGCTTGGGGCCAAGGTCAGGCCATGGCTCAGTATCGGACATGCCTCCACGGCACGCAAACCTCAGCAGCTGGGGCTGATGGGGATACAGGGACAGGTCCCTGAAAGGTCCAGAGGCACAGGAAGTCCTGTTCTCTCAGCACCTCCATGATGGATCAGAGGGTCTCCATCAGGAAGTGCACGCACAGCAGGAATTTGATGAGCCACTTTAAATTTAATACGGCTGCCACCGGTTTGTTCTTTCTGGGAACTAAAGAAGAATTAGATACCTTCTCTCCAGATATTTTGCATCTCAGTTCTCCTCAGCCCCAATCAGCATGCCCAATAGCCAGGAATGCTGAGAACTGTAGTTGAAAAACGCCAGAGGGCATCAGGCTGGGGAGCTCTCACTGAGAGAGTCCTCGCCAATGTTTCCGAGATGAAGCAAATCACTTCTGCCAAGTTCCATGGCTTTGCTCATCTTGCGAGGACGGCAAAGCCACAAGACATCCAAGACGATGTTATTGCAACTGTGTTTCTGCATTCCAGGATTTTTCTTTCGTTCCTAGGTGTGTGGGTTGTTGTTTTTTTTACTCACTCACTCCAAATAAAGTTTTGGTGAGCTTCACGTGGCTTTTTACAAATAACACTCCACATTAGTGTGGCTTAGGTCCCCAGAACTACTTCTACTCTGTGCGGGGTCCAAGTGTCGCGGAAATAATGCTAAGCAAAGACCACGCCAAAGGAAAGCAAGCAGAAGTTCTATGGCAGTGTGCATTACGCACACAAAAGGCAATCACTGCGCCCTGGAAAAATTCCTACAGGTGCCCATGCCTGGTGGCCCCTCCCTCAAGGGAGGATCAAATTGATTGGAGGCTGTTTATCAATCGGCGAGATGGGACGCCCTCCAACACATGCAGGAGAAAGCAGCACTGAACACGCAGGGTCTGCAAATTTAAGGCGTGTGCCCAAGCTGACGAGATTGGCCCAGGGATGAGCCTCCAGGCCAGTCAACGCAAACGAGAGAGGAGGAGGAGACACATGAAGTGACGAGGCAGCGTAGTAAGATGCCTTACCTGTTAAATGATCCAAGTAGTACTGGTACAGTTTACACTGAAGAGGAGTCATTCTAACAGCTAGCACATATTCATACTTTGGTGGCAGGAACTTTGTTAATGCTGTATAATCCTTCCTCTGCATTTAAAAGAAGGAGCCAAAGTATTGTCATGGGGAAGATTATCGAAGTACCTAAATGCCTCCTCAAACCTAAGCTGCACAAAACAAGCTGTAATTCAGTGGAATACGACTTTGTGGAGGAGCCTGCTATCTCGGAACAGTAGGAGCGTGCATCAGTCGCCTGCGGGTCTTGCCCTGCCGCAGGAGTGTTGGTCGCACAGAAGTGCACATAAGCTGGCCAGTAACAGACCTGCGATGCAGACAAAGCTGAGACTGGAGCCTCGTTCAGAGGGAGCGCTAAATTAGGGTCCAGCGCCATGTGCATGGCTCGAGCCTGTGACCTGCCTAGCATGGCCCAAAGCAGGAGCACCAGATTCTTACAATCTGTTTTCAACCAACCACAGTTTATTGTGATGCCCACGCCCTGAGCTGTGGTTAATCTTAACCAAGGTTTAATGAAACAAACCAAGTTTAGAACGACGATCTGAAGTTGGCTTGTTTCAAGTAAACCATGGAACCTAAGGACACCCACAAGTTTGAACACAAATGCGGAGCTCAATTAAAATGGGACAAAAATGTCCAGTCTCCTCCAGACTGCACCAAAGAGTCCCAGCGTCCTTCTTGTAATTCTAATCCCGACTTTAGCATGATGTCCCATCCTGTGGCATGTCCCACCCTGTCTGCAACCCGATCACCACTTAAAGCAGACAAGTGGGAAGAGGAAAAAGAAACAAAGAGAAGAGTAAAGTTTAAAAGTTACGAGGATCCCACATTATAGGCAGGGATGAAATATAGGTATTAAGTCTTTTTATACGCTCTGGATTAAAATTTCTTCCATAGCTATTATTCAATAATTTCAGGCCACCCCGAGTAACCACGGCCAGCAGGATCTACATTTTAAAGTGAAGGAAAATAATCAAATGGATGTGGGCAAATCAAAGTTTTTTTCACTATTTCTTTTTCATCAGGAATGATGGCCTGCTTGTCAGAGGAAAAAGTATAACTTTGTCAAGAGAAACAGACTATCAAAACACAAAGGCTGTTTAGATTTATATTTCCATGTTACGTATTTTTACTTCTCACATCGCAGAAGGACTGAAATAGAAAAATCCACCTACCTGAACACATCCAGCTAACATTTCATACAGAATGTGGGCACGCTTTTTCATCACCCTAACATCAGCCAGGGTAGAGTCAGCACATTGACCATTCTGGATGGGATTTATGAATCGATTTCGGAACTCCTTAATTGATCCAAGCAAATTCTCCTTGATAAAGTTCACCATGCAGTGATCTGAGGAACCACAAATTAATCGTCAGCTATTCCATTTTCTACAGAAGAATACTCCCTAGGGGAGCATCTAGTTAAAATGGGTAAGCCTGCATCTGCCGTGTCATTTTCTATTTGGGTGGGCTGCTCTGGAAAGACAGATTATAAATAAAAGAAATATTTGGCAAGTGAGATCATGGCCAAGATTGCAAAGAGAAAGTGACTACCTGTTTGAACAGGCACTTCGGCCACAACTGTGCACCATGCATGTGCAGTGATGATCCAAGAACCCCCGCGGGACCCTGCAGGACCCCCCTTTCCACCAGCAGCTCCTTGCCCAGTGCAGAACTCTTCCAGTCATTCTGCAATTTAGTCCTACCATCTGCGGCTAAGGGAAGCCTTCGCATGCCTTGCCCACAAAGGACCTGGCCTGAACCCTGCCGGAGGGCAAACTACTCCAAGCGGGAGCAGAGCTGAGCGAGCAGGGGAACAGCATGCCCAGAAAAACAGGGATGCAGAAGCAGGCTGGAGGAGGGGCACGTGAGGATTCTCTGGACCCTGCCTGTGCCGAGCTCCCCGAAGGCACCCAAGCAGCAGCCCTGGTCTGCCCAAGAAGGCAAGACAGCACCCCCTCCGAGTATGTTTGGTCCATGTGCCAACATAATCTGCACTGGCTTCTGACCACCGATGCACGATCGGCATCCATAGGAGGGTTGCAAAGGATGAAGAACAGCAATGCTTATTCTCTTCTTCCACTTCAACAAACCCATTTTCATATTCTTGAAGCTGCAGACATGGAGAAAAGAGAAGCTCGGGCTTTGGCTCCTGCTCAAAATGTACTTACACTCTATGAGGTTGTTTTGCAGTGGCGTCCCCGTAAGAATAATTCTCCTCCTGGATTTTATAGAGTTCATAGCTTTAGAGACAGCAGAAGCTTCGTTTTTTAGTATGTGCCCTTCGTCACATACAACAAAATCAGGGCCTGGTTTTAAGAAAAGCAAACACCTCTTTAAACGCGTTGCATTGTCTGCACCAAGAAGACAGGCTTCCTACGTGCCCAGCACACAGGTGTCACCTCTGACAGGTGGGATCCAGCAACACCCACACGTGAAAGGGCGACGCACACGCCCCTTGGGATGTGGCTCTTCCAACTGCCTAGACCCAAATAAGCATTGCTGCCGCATTACGATGCAGACCGTGAGCCTGGAAAGGACAGGCCAACTCTGCCCTGCAGCGCTAGGCTGTTCATTCCCGCACACAGATAGAGTGAAAGATCTCTGCCCATCTGCATGCAGCCCCATGCCACAAAAATGTTCGTATTTGGCGGCCTCTGACAAGTGGCTATTTGTATCCCATATGCATACTGTGTCTCCTTAGCAGGGCAGAGGAATACTGGCTCCGTGGCACTTGCTTTGTGCTATTCCACTGAGGAAAGCGGCACTGAAGGTGGCCCAGGTCGAAACACAGGGTACAAACTACAACAGCCTCTGCCCGTTTCCTTATATATCACCAAAGCATTGATTATGCAAGTTCTCTCAAGTAACGACGCCCGGGACCAATTTATAATCTCAGGCTGCAGCACCATCTGCTGGTGCTTGAAAATAAGGACAGATTTCAACGTACATACAAAAATCATGCTTGATGTTGCTTATTCTCAGCAATGTTTGAGCCAGTCCTTTAAATCAAGACAGTGCTTTGGTATGCCATTTTTACCATCTGCTCCGGCTGGAAGGAAATTCCCACTGGGGAATGCTTTTTCAGGCCTATCAAGGACACTGTGCTGTGCCACAGGGGCACAAACATGCAACACTGGCCATTCGTTTACAGGATTACCTTGCAAACATTTTACTATATGCTTTAAGGGGATGGAAAAGAGGGGAAATGTTTTACTACACTCCAAGACTCTGTCTCCCTAAACAGAGCAGGGAAGGGAGAATGTCGTTTCACCCCTTCTGAGATGCTGTCAGCCCCATGCAGGCTCTGGATTGGACTTCAAGGTTGTTCTTCCGGGTAGCTGGAATCCTGAACAAAAGCACCCCTCCCAGGGGGTTGGGAAACACACAGTGTTATTCTGTAGAATGCGGTGGGGTGATATGGGCCAAATTGCCTATAAGCACCTGGAGAGGCTAGATTCAAAGGGATTTCACAGCTCAGACAGAAACAGCCAATTTAATACCCCTACAAAGGTTTAGGTATTAAACCATTTTCATTGCCTTTTGACTTGCCTGGCAAAATGAAACACCACTGGCTTTGGAGAGGACGCAGGTGGAGACAGATATTAAGAAAACTCAAGCCAGTTCTTAATATTAATCAACTGGAGATAAGAAATTCAAAGCAAAACATACAATAAGGGAAAGGGAAAGGGCAATCCCAGGATTCAAATGATCTTTGCAACCCTGTTGAGACTGTCGAGACCAACGAATGACTGGGGAGGGTCAGGGTGTCCTCTCGCCATCACAACTGGACCTTCTCAGGGTACACCAACATTCTATTCCCCTTCAGAGGAGGAAGGCCTCTCTGGAAGGAAACGCATGCATTCCGCAAAGTTCACAGAATGCAAAGAGGCCACCTGAAAAGCAGCAGCAGCAGCAGCGCTGCAGAATTTCCTACTTCCAGACAGGTGTTGTTTCACGAAACTAATTAGCACCATCAACGTGCACAGTACAAACTGGGCAACGGACACAGATGCAGTAGTTTAATCTGCAACGCTCCAATTAATTATCTTCAGGTCACTATCCCTAGCCACACTTAATTATTCAGGCTTATTTTTTTTTCCTCCAACAAAAATGGAGGCAGCTGCCAGCAGCCTGTTCCTTCCAGAGCCTCTGTGAATTCTCAGCAAGGAAGCTGCATTAGTGCCCTCCCAGGTGGATGCTTGCCACCTGCTCTCCTGCTGCCACCGCTGCCCCGACAGCAAAGGAAATGGCTTGTGCACTGTGGGGTTGGGACTTTCTCTGTGCAATGGAAACAGCACGGCCGCTGCGCTCCCCCCGCCCCCACCCCTTTCCTCCCCGGTATTCCTTCTTCCCTTCTTCATCCACAAACATCCGGGAGGAGCTTGGCTTCTGACAGAGAATCAGGGGGAGCGTGAAGACAGGTGGTGGATGCTCTTGGCAGGGGAAGGGGCATGTGGAGGCCAAGTCCTGCATGTGTCCCTCTCCTGTATCACTCAGTGCAGGGGCTGCAGAGTGAGAGACCAAGCAGTGCCTAGACGAAGAGCTGTGGAGCGCCCTGCAAACCACAATCCACCCGAGAATGTGCCTTGCTCCACAGAGAGAACACTTTCTGCGATCCAAACAGTATTCTGGCTTACCTGGATCAACCAGTGCTTTGATAAATATTTCTTTGAGCTTTCGGCTTTTTACATTCCTCCCTTGTGCCAGGTTCCGGTACATCTCATAGCCGATGATCATGACACCGCCTTCTTCCTGCCATCGTTGCAGCATGTAGCTCCTCTCTTGAGGGCGTTTCACTGTGGCTAGTTCACAGACCTTGTGGGGGGGGGGGGGATATAGTTGTTCAGCATCTAGCACGTTCCCAATGCATGCCCAAATTATGAAATTGCTAAAATCAATGCACCTGGGGAGTAAACTTCTTATAAATTCAAAACAATTGTGGACAACCTCTGATCACAATTAAAACTCAACATGCAGGCACTTGACAGGCCCATTTTAAATAGCAGATACCTCCAATTTCTCATCATCCTCTAAGCCTTCTTGCCATTTCTCAAATTCATTCAACCAGTTCAGGGCCGTGTTCAGGGGGCAAACAACAAGGGCGGTACTGAAATCCAGTTTATCACACAGCAGAATAGTATGAAGAAAGCTAACTACCTTCAAGACAGAAAAAGGCAAGGAGATGAGAATTAATTTTCACATCAGTACATTTCAAAAAACCTTTCCTTTCCTTGTTTTAAAAGGCAGCTAGTCATCCAGTAGGGGCAAGACCAGTTGTTCATATTGGCTGAAACCCAGTAATTCACAATTCTCACTTTAACGCAGCATGTTTCTCTCCTCCTCCTCCCCATAACTGCCCTCCAACCTGGTTCCAGAGCACCCCCCACAAAAACAAAACAAAAAAACCCCTTTCCAGAGCAAATTTGGAGGATGCACCACCAGCTGTGGGGAAGGGAGCATGAGCCTGTGTCCTCATGCTGCAAGGGCAATACTGAACGCAATCTATTCGGTGTAAGCATTTACTTCTTTTACTCTGCAAATCAATAATCTTATCCGCATGTTAATTTGCACTATGTGTGTTGTACACAACCGATTATCTCCTCTTCCCGTTTTGTTCTTATATGGCAGACTTTCCCTAAGTAATTAAGCAGACTGCCAAAACTCTGCTTAACTCTCTCCAACAGGCCAAGTTTGAGCACAGGAGGGCACGAAGAACTCTGGGTCTTTAAGAAAAGATGCACTGTGCTAAATCTATTCCAGCCAGGGTCAGGGGCCCAAAGACCCAATACACATCCCCTGTAAGCACTCAGAGCAATGCGCACGCGGCTATTTCTTAGTGGATCTCGCACCTTTGCCCACAAGCAAGAACACTTATGAAGAAGCAGAGGAGGAACGCCAAGCACGGGATGCGTCGATTCCATCGAGGAAGCCGCAGCCTTGTGTTTGCTCAAATGCCATGGCATTTTGGAGAACACTTATTCATAGGGTTACCGTAGTCAGAGGGGACTTAGCAGCATGTAACAACATGAGGAAGCTAAAAAAGAAACTGGAGGTGCAAGTCCCGATAGCTGGGGGGAGCCCCTCACAACGCGGGATCTTGTGGATTTAAGAGGAAGATGCTGGAGGGAGCCAGGCTGATCCCTGGCTTGAAACATACCTGCAAGGTCTTTCCCAGACCCATACAGTGGGCAAGAATGCATCCAGAGCCTGCAGATTTCCTTGTTTTTTTCACAGATTCACAACAGCAATCCCACATAAATTGAACACCTAGAAATCATATTTTTAAAAGATCCTTAAAATGTAGCAATCAATGATCAGGCAAGCATTTACAGCTTTCATTTCCAGCAGCAGAGATAAGACGCTGCAGCACCCAACCAGTTCAAAATGCAAACCCATCAAAATCCAGCTTTTCAAGAACAAAGAGCTGGTCATATTGTCTTACCATCTACTTGGTGTGGCTTCAGTTTTGTAACTATGTGTTTGTGAACCTGAACTAACGGTTCTTTGGTTTCTTCATCTTCATCTAAAACCAGCTTAGTTGTAATTGGACATTTCATTGGCGCATCTTCTATTTCTATCACCTGGAAATAAAAAGTTTTGTGCAAACAGTTCAAGCTGTTACAAAAACAACAAAGTTACATAGAGTACCACAACACAGAGACCTTGTACTAAAAACCAGGATTACTTTTTCAAATCTCCAATGCCATGTCATATAATATAAAGCTTGCAGTAAATACAGTACTCCCAATAGTTGTCTCGCTATATACATATATATATATATATATATATATATATATATAAAGAAAAAAGTACTTCTCTTAGCTTCTCCCTTTCACGCTCCCTCTCTGCGATGCGTTTTCTTCTCTCCTCTTCTTCTTTCAGTGCATTTTGGGTTTCTGTTCTGAGCTTGTCATCCTTAAGAATTTTTCGTATTTTTTTCCTGCCTTTCCCAGGAGATTTTGAATCATCATTATCATCGTTCTCAGAATTACTCTGTAAAAGTCCAAGGAAAATACTGGTGAAAAATCTACTACCTTTTAATATTGTTAATGATCATTTCATATAAAATGTGGTAGAAATGTTACAAGGAAGCAAAACAATATTGTTTATCTCAACAACTTAACTGTTTTCTGTTCTTTTAAAGTGCTGCCAAATATTGGTAACATGAAACACACAGTGGCACTAACGGAATGAAACGCATGATGCAACTTCAGAGCTCACGATGTCATGTCTGGTTTGCTACCAACTAGCAGTCTCCAACTGGGCAAACGGCTAATGTAAATTGCATTGTGCTGGCATAAACTGCTCTTGCAGAACATTAATAGTATTAGCTGGCAAGAAGATTTCCTGGGAAATTTGTGCATCATTTAATGCCGTTGGTGCTGTACTGGAGTAGCTCAGGCTAGTGTGGTGTAATTCGCATTAGCAGCAGTGCTCTGGCCATTGTGTTGCAGGCTGTTCCAAGTGAAAATTAGGGCCAGCATCCCAGGGACTGACAGATATCCTTTCTGTTTGATAGCACCCGACCTATCCTCAGTGTTGTATCATAAACTGCTCTAGAAATCTCCCATGTTACAAAAGTGGTTTACAGTTTAGGAGGAATTAAAAGGGGAGACAAGAAGTGCAAATCTGAACTCATTCAGAGAATAGACACTGAAATATGTGGAAGGAAAAGGGAATTTTTAAAATGGCCACAAAAATGACTATCATAGAATATTTTGATATGATTATCAGAGATCATTAACCAAATTGAATCTACTATCTAAATCATTTCATGGAAACAGCAAGGGACAGACCTTAATGAGGTGCTTTGCCCAATGCTAGTCTGGTTTCCTCCCAACTCCCTGCAGTATTAAACTGCTTTTGAAACCTCACTCAGTTTCCAAAGGAGCCCATGCGGTGTTGGAGATGTGCGAGGTGGCAATCTAAAGGATCCGCTGACATCCAGAACAGTCCTAGTTCCTTGAAATCACAAACTGGGGCCATGTTTCTTGGAGACCTTTCCAGCAGAACCGCACAATACCTTGTTTTCACTAGATGAATCCTCCTGGACCTTGATGCGCCGTCTTTTCTTTTTCTGCTTGTAACTCCGTTGATTTTCTTCTAATTCAGCCTTTTTGGAAGATCTGAAAAGTTGATGCATTTTTTTTAAAAAAGTCAAAAAGAGTAAAGGAAATAACAATGAACTTTCTTAGCCCATTTTACTGACCAGTGCAAACAACTATATCTTATTCCTAATAAAAGCAATTTTTAAAATGCAGAAAGTATGGCTGAAGTATCTACTTTTTCTTTATGAACTAATTAACGCCTGTATTTCATCTACATTAGTACTTGGGAGTACATAAAAATGATGGCCTCTCCTTTCCTACCTTGGTCTTTGCTCCACCAACAAGTGAACAACCCAACCGACCAGAATGAACTACCTTATTCTTCACAAACTTGATTGGAACTCACTTGACATCATTTCTAATTTATACGTGGGGCAGCTCCATGCTCTCATGCCACAAAAAGACAAACAGCAAGAGCAGAACTCTGCAAAATCTCTCCCTTGGGCAGAGGGCTGGGGATCATACATGGACAAGCACAATGTGCAGGCGGATGCGGGAGCAGTCAGAAGCCAGTTTCTGCTAGCACCCCATCCCTTGAATGAACCGAATTAAACGGCTGCATGCCACCCCGTATTTTCAAGTCAGACGTCGTTGCTGCTATATATATTTGGGATGAACTATTCCTACTTTCAAGCCTAATGAACTGTTAACCCGAGTGCATTCCTTGATATTATGTCTTATACTAATTTACATACAAATAGCGATAGACACCAATTAAATGAATTGTAATTCAGTGATTAATCTACTGGCTAAATGTGCAAGCACTCCCTACATGCTGCTTCGTATTTAACAAGAAGCTGTTGCAGGTTAATTTCTCTGCGGGGTTCTGCACTGCAGAGCCAGCTGGCACCCCTGAATTCAAGCCACGGCGGGGGCATCCCAGTTTGTGGTTGTGCTCATGCCCACTGAAGGTGGGCTGCTGGGGGCTGAACAAGCTCCCTGCAACTCTAGAGCAGGCCAGGGGCTCTGGGCAGGCTGCCAAGCACAACCGCCCCCCCCCCCCCCACCATGCAGGTTTCACTTGCAAGGGTGAGCTGCGAGCACTTCCACTCCCGCGGCACCACATTCCACTGCACTGACGTGGAATTCGTGCTGCACTCCTTTTTCTTCTGGGAAAAAGAGTATCGTTCCCTTCCCCATCCCATCTGTACATAAAAGTATTCTGTCTTGTGGCACAAGCGCCATCCTTTAAAACAGCAGCAGCGTCTTGCACAAGGATGCTTACCATTCTGGGCAGCTTGAATGAAAAGCAGACCTGACCTGTTCTCATTCCCTTGTGATTCCCTACTATTCTATTTCCCCTGGAATGCTTCCGATTCACCCCACCTTTGTCTACATTTCCCAAATGGGTGCCCTCCACAAATTTTGGACTAAAACGCTCAGGATTCCACTACATGCCCTATGCACATCTGTGCTACCAGGAAAGCAAGAGAAAAAAATTAATGAGGAACCACATCTGAGCACACACAAAAATGACACCTTGTTCTAGGACGCTGGTCATCTTCAGATTCACTGACGTCTTCGCTGACTCCAGATTCGTTTCCTTCTGAGTTACCTGAATCCTCACTGCTCACTTTCAGGTTAAACAGACATCAAAAAATACCATGAACAGCTTTTGTAGTTAAATGTCGACTATGTGTCAACACTTTCACAGGCGCTAGTAGAACAAGGTAAATATAGAACTGAGACTGACAATATGGCAACACTAGTAGCAAAAGAGAACGTGGAAACTGTGTCATTTGCTGGAAGCTCAAAGAAGAAACATTTCTTTTTATTTATTTTTCAGGCTGGGGAATTCTGATGATCTGGGGCTTGAGACTACTGCAACAGCACACAGCAGCTAAGTGGAGAGAGAGGAAGTACTGTTGTTTCGAGTGGTATAAGATTGTCAGCACAATCAGGACCATACATTACAGGTATAGGTAGTTTAAAGCAAAATTATAAATTCCAGCAAGCAACAGAGTTCTTAAATGGGTGGCAACTTAGCTTGCATGATGTAGCGACTCACCCAGCGACTAGCACCCCGAATTGCCCGGGGTGAATTCTGCGGACGACTGGGCTCGCAGTGGGCTGTCCAACTCACTCCTGTATTCTTCCGAGGGGTTCCCTCCTCGATGGCACTGTGAGCATTTTGCATCCCCAAGGCCACCCCCCCATAACTCTTTTGAGTATTGCCAACGTTTGAAGTGACAGACAGCTACAGCCCCCCTAACCTGCCTAAATGCAGGGTTTTAATTTTTTTCTCGTAAGCCACCTTGAGACCTCGGTGGTGGGCGACATATAAATGGGGGGGGGGGAGATGGGAAGACAGATAGATAGATAGATAGCAACAAATGTGCAAAGGTGGAGCTGCACACTTGCCCGGCTCTTCTGCAACTAATCAGAGCAGGCATGGAGGTTTGGTGTTCAAAGTAACACTAGAAGCTCCTTCGGGTTCACCTGGACCTTCCCCTCGGAATTCACACAGATGACTGAACTGTCCTGGGATGACGCCTCACCGCAAGCTCTTGGCCAGCCAACCAAGCGGCAAGGAGCATTTTACCGCACAGCAGTTGCCTGAAAGGGCTCTCTCAGGCATGCAGGCTCACAAACGCTTAATACCTTTCCTTCTATTTCTGCGTTTAACATCCTTTGACTCCTTAGATTTTCCTTTTTTCTCTTCCTCAGACTCTCCATCACTCATTGACAATTTGTGTCTTAACAACCGGTGTTTATGCCTAGGTTTCTTAGCCTCTTCATCATTTGAATCAGAGTCCGACTCGGAGTCAGAATCATCTTCGTGTTCATTCTCTTCTGTTACAGAAAAAGAACATCATAACGCTTCAGTACATGCGAGGAACATTTCCAGCTTGATGCCAGTAGCATGGGCAGAGACATCAACCCAACACGCACTCTTGGCACTGCGAAAGACTCGGAGAACAACAGCTTGTTTGCACCATGCTAAGGGTACTGCAGAAGTAAGTAAGCTATGCTTAAGAAGCCACCAAAGGATTTTAGGCACTGATAAATTCAGGTGGCCATGATGAGCAGTATAGCTATCTTAGCATTCTGGTCATTACCAAAGCCCATTTGGGTTCAGCGATTAGTAAGTTTACCCATTTGGTAGCAAAGGGTGCACTGTTCATTTGCCTCTAATTAAATACTTCAAAAGTACAATGACTCTAGAGAATGCTCACCATTTTCGCCAAGATTTTCGGGTTGCCTTCCTTTCTTCTTTTTCCCATCATCAGATTCTTCAACAGAAGAAGCATCCTCCTCTGAGGAAAGATTGGCTTTGATTTCTTCTAAAAGCATTTTCTTGGCAATTCTTTGAAGTAAAACAAAAAAGGTGCATTCCATTGGTTCACCAATAAGAATCAGTAAATGACAAACGTAATTGTACAACAGCATTAATCAGGTATTTCAAGAGCAAGAGTTAAGAACTTGGCTAGAGTCCTGGATGGAAACAAACCATGTTGGCAACAGAAGAGCAATCTGGTGCCTCAACCTGCTGGTGGGAGAATGAGGTCATTTCATTACCATGGACAAAGGCATTAAATATTTGCACATTCTTATAGTATACTGTTGCGGATGTAGTTCCACCACATGGTTAAACTTTCATTTGTCTCCCATCAGTCTGTCTTCCTTAAATGTAGAGTAATATTAGCTGAATATCAGAATCCCACATCAGTCCTGGTAGCCTCCAAAACACAAAGTGAGAAACACATCTTTAAAAGAAAGAAGGCACTGGCACGCTCCGTGCACCACACCTCCGTGCCACATCACAAGCTGCTATTGCCAGTCCTCCCCATCACCAAGGGGTCCGAGGATGCTGTCCAAAGGAAGCCAGCACCAAAGTCAGTGGGGATGTGCCAATATGCTGGCACACGTGTGCGACCGCAACTCCCGCAAGTTGGAGTGGCTAAACAAACCACAGGGCTGCTTGTGTGTTTGTCAGAAACTATGAACTAGGACTTCTGGCTTATGTCACCTCAGAACAGCCAGAGCTGTAGGTCAAGAACAAACCACGGTTCGTGACTTTGGCTTCCCCAGGAAGACACAAGGGAAGTTTGCCATTCACATGTCATAATAAACAAACCACAAATAGCCATTGCTTTGTTAACCCATTAGAATCGGGTGAGTCATTTGAGATGCACACCCTTCTCCTTTCTATTCTGGTCCTCAGTCCTGCTTTAAACAATACTTGTTTGATGCCATTAAAAAAAACAACAACATGGCAGTGCAAACTATTAGGACCCCAAGCTCGCACAATTCTTGGGGCAACCATTTGAAATCACACCTTTTTTTGTGCCAAGCAGGCCAAAATGACCAGCGGCAGTACAGAAAGACAAACGCTCTTTCACCCGCTCACGGGGAGATGGCTCTGGTGGGCGTGGGTATGACCCCTTGTAAGTCCCGTTCAACGTTGGCAACACTCACGTGGGACTTCCCAGCGTATGTTAATACGCCCTGCTGGTATCATACGTGACACCACCAGTCCATCTCATCTTGGGGCAAGAGAATTAATATTTCGACTGTACATTTATCTGCCCCCTCCAATTACAATTGGAGAGTGACAGAACTCTGAAAGAACTCTCTTCATGTACAGTACAATACATGCTTCAATGAATCATGATGTAAAAAGTCAAAAAAGACTTGTTAGGGCTTGTCCACAGTTTAAGCAATCCCAGCTGAATGATTTCCTATATTTATACAATTGACTAGTGAAGTTTAGAAATTTGAGGAAGCTAATGGGCTCTCTTCGATGCCGTACTGAAGCATGTTATTCTCAGCTTTTCTGTGTTTTGACCATATGCTAAGAATTGTACATGTACATGTTCTCAGAAATAAAAAATGCAGCCAGTTGATTTGGTATTGGTCTTAGCAGAGCTCATGCAATGCAGGCTGATTTTGGAAACTCTGATTCCATCAGCCCCTCTTGGTGTGGCATGGGAATGTCACTGAGCCCAAAACAGACCCAAATATTGAGCCTGGCACAGGCATTGATTCCCAATAGTATTTATTTGGAAATTTGTATGCTGTCCCATTCGCATAAGCCTCAGGACGGCTTCCAACATCATAAATAAACAGTTATTCAGACAAGAACATATAAAATCTGGATTCATTCTGGCTAAAAGATTTTAAAACCAATAAATAATATTAATAATTATTAAAATATCATTTAAATAAAAAGGTTTTGGCCTGGTGCCGAAAAACAAATAACGGCGGCACCAGGCGGACCTCTCTTGGGAGCGCATTCCATAAGTAACAGCAGAAAAGTAACAGCAGAAAATGCCAGCTTAACAAAACTTTATAGCAAGTCCATCACACTAGAGGATTGATGAAGCATAAAAGAAAATACAATTCAAAAACATTGTCTATTTTATGTCCAATGTTAATAAAACACTTTGTATTTTGTTAAATATATACATTGTACCAGGAAGCCAGAAAGAACAGCATCCAATGCTTTTACAGTAATTGTGCTACTTAGAAGCCGAAAAGGGAATCACGACAAGGATTGTTTTAAGTGGAAAGTTACCTGCATATACCGTATTTTTTGCTCTATACGACGCACTTTTTTCCCACTCAAAAGGGGAAATGTCTGTGCGTCTTATAGAGCGAATGTGTGTGTGCAGCAAGTCTGTCAGATGTGCAGCCCATGGGGAAATGATGGGGAATGTGCCCGTGATTATGTGCCCATTTGATTCAGAATATTTTTTTTCATGCTTTCCTTCTCTAAGAACTAGGTGCATCTTATGGTCAGGCGTGTCTTATAGAGCGAAAAATACGGTAGTTTGTTACCCGGTGTGATTCAAAGTTCCCCAAAGGATATGCATTTTTTCTGACATCCTATTCTCGTTGTCCTAAACAAGCAGTAAATACAGCTTTGTGTCCCTGCTTGGCCACCATCCATAGCTAATGTAACACATTCAGCTTGGTAGGTCACAAACTGTGCAATGTGTGTTAAGGAGTACAGAAAGGATATATCAGGAACTGAACCATGGTGACCAAGAAACTGAATGGAAATGAGAATAGGGTAAGAATAGTCATTCCTTGTATATCCTCATTTCTTAAAATTTAAACCTAATCACAGAAAAAAGTTTTTGTTTTGCGTGAAAGTTCCTCTGGTGCAAAGGAAGCCTGCAACTGGCTCTGACCTGGGTCCTATGGAGCCAAGAAGACCAAGCCACATAACTGCATTAATTAGGTATAACAAGCCACGTTCATTTTCTGCTTAAATCTTTGTCCAGATTAGGAAAATGTAGCATTTAGAATGGGCACAAGCTTTTTCCATCTTCTGCTTTAGTTTAAAGCAATGAAAATCTTTTTCAGGCAATGTTCAGGTTCCAAAACAAGAGATTTAATAATTTGTACTCAGGAAGAGTAATCTACCTAAGTTATAGGTGATACAAAAATGTTTGTTCCTATAATTACATTTATTTTGACTCTTGTAAAGCCATCCAATTCAGGAAAAGCAAGTCGCTTAGGGGAGGGGCACGACATGCGCACAAGTGGATGAGGCCCCACAGCTGAAATCTGTGTCCTACCGCAAGAAAACTCGAGAACAGACTGTCCTCACGTCTCTACCTTGAAACTGGCCTTGGTATATTCTGCTGCAAGGGATGTGCATAATTTGGCCACACACACAATACAGCCCTATCTTGATTAGGGCCTTCTGATGCCTCGCCCACCAAGCGGTCAGGTCAGTACGGAGGAGATCCAGAGGAAGTTAGTCATGAGATCTCACTGAGTGTGACATGCCCAGCCTCTGCTGAACCCAGCAGTACAATTTTATCGTTTTAAAATAAGAGTTTTGATTGTTGAGACGTTCCACAAAGCACTCATTTGCAATGCGTGTGCAAACAGTTCCTGATTCTCCCAATGTCCTCCACATGTGTTGAACTACAACTCCCAGCATTCCTGAAAAGTGGCTGTGCGGCTGGGGGCTGATGGGTGCTGTAGACCAAAGCATATGGAGGGCATCGAGTTGGAGAATGCTGGCCCAGGATTCACCAATTGACCAAAATGGCACTCGCTTGGCTGTTTTCATGGTTAGAGCCTAGGGCTACCTCGACTTTTCCCCAGGAGCATTGCCTTTAGGACATCCACATTCATTACACGTGCAGGACTGAAGAGAAGCTATCCTTTGCTCCCTTTCAGATCTTTTTCAGCCGCTTGCACTGTTGCTTCAATGGCAAAACCAACACGCTTGCTACTTTCCACAGGCACAACTGACTCCTACAACCAGACAAACCAATGTAATACACATTAGATCAAGGGAAGGGGAGTTTTGAGCAATTCTGCCAGTGCCTGGGCATGAATAAAGCAGGTGCCATAGCTGGAAAGACAATGGGAAATCTTGAACGCACACACACGTTTCTGGGGTATTAACAACTCAAACTAGGGTCGATGTGCATGTTACTCTACAGTTGCCCAAAAGAACCCAAAACATAAAGAAAACTGCAATGAAGTACTAAAGACACACCATTTTAACTGATGTGCTGCTTTTAATGATTTTAGCCTTACCTAGGAGACCACAGGACCATTAGGCTGAGGATTATGTGGCCCAAGTTTCAGTACGAATGGAAATAGCTTATTTAATCCCTATAATACTTTAGCAGAAAAATGTGTTTTACATTTCTTAAATTAAATGCTTGGACGAGAAACATGTTTTACAAAAATTTATTGCATCCATCAAATACTTCAAAGGCATTGTGCATGAATACACTATGAATCTCTTAATGAACAAAAGTAACTCCAAACATATTAAAACATCACTATTTAAAAGTTCAGACAAACCGATAAGAAACAAATACACACCACAATGAATACAGCACTGTCTGTTATATTAAGACCCACTAAAATATTGCACTTTGGCAAAAGATATTTTAACATTTTAATAAGAGACATGTTAAAAATGATTTATCCAGGAAAAGAAAGTTTTAAGTACAACTGTCCAAGCTGTATAACATTGCCACAAAACTCTAGCATCCTTCTTTGGCCTGATAGAAGTGGGTATTTTGTCCAAAACAAGCAAGCAGCAGTTAAACTGCAACCCATAAGCGCATTTAAAGTCAGGGATTTGTTCATCATGACACAAGATCATTCTGTAGAGCCCGCCATGGTCAGGGACCTAAGCAGCTCCACATGTGGGCAGAAACCACTTCGGTTTACGAATGAGGGGAAGGGAGTATCTCAAGTGCCATCCCTAGGTGCTACGGAAGCTGATCTTCATGAAGGGAGGAACAAGGAACCCTATCATGAAGGCGTTCCACAACAGCCTCAGTCCTGCACATGGCTAGAGAGCTCATCCTCTTTAACATATGTGGCCACTGACCAACGGCTTAATTGCGTTTTCCTAACGCTGACATAAAATGAAGTGTTTCGGTATGGTGTAATACACATCAACCAATATTAATCTTGCATATTGGTCCAAGACTATTTACGAATGAACACCAACTCCATCTAAGAGAGGTAGATCAACACTTTCCTGGATTATACAGTATTCAGGGCTTCCTCCCTCTTAAAGCAATCCAGGATCTTGCTTTATTTGCTAAGTAAAAGTATTATTTATGATTAAAGTATTATTTCAGGATTCATTTGCTAAGTATTAAGAAATAAAGGATAATACTCCAAGCAAAACATCTAATTTTGTATATAGTTTTATCTACTAGAAATGCTTTAAAAAACTATTAAATAAAGAACTGGTTCTAATGCTTTAAAAGAAACTTACATTTTTTTAAAGTTTGCTTTTTCTACACTGTCAACTCCTAAGCAATAACTGAAGTTCATGTTAAACACGTGTTTAAATGTAGTGGGTTGAGAGCAGTAACAGCCAGATTAGCACCATTTTTATCTGTATACAAGTCCATATGGTAGAACAAGAGTTAAAATCCATTTTGGGGACAAACACCCAAAATGTGTTTCACTTTCTACAGCAATGTAGGTAAAAACCGGCTGAATTGTTGACAAAAGACTTCTTACCCTCCAAGCCAATTGCACATTTACTATTGTCAAATATTTCTTATGTTGAGTTGGTAGAAAGAGATCCCATGGAAGAAACTGCCTGGTAACTCAATTAAGCAAGCCAAATTAGGTGGCTTGACAGTATAGGCTTTGTTAATACTACAACAGCACAACCCACCCGTGCCTCCTCCAAAGCGAGTCTGCCACGCCCTGGCGGGCACCTCACACGTGAGCGCACAACTTGCCACGCAGGAGCGGGAATGAGCGGGCACACTGGGCAGGCGCACCAGCTGCTTCTGCTTCTAATCAAGCAGGCGGGGTGGTTGACTGTTTAAGGACTCAGCCGCGCAGCAGCTAACCCATGGTTTGTGCAGGGTTAGCCGCTGGGTTTGCATTACGCTCAGCGGCCTCCAATCCAGCCCATCACAGGTTGATCAGAAGGGCGAGTGAGGAGAGGCAGGCAGCGCTCTTGTTCACTTCTGCTCATGAAGAGCACATTGGTGTGTGAGCTCACCCACAATATGCCATTTCATGTGAAATGCATCAACTGGTCGGTGTAGGATTGTAATAGAAGACTGCTAACTGTTTCACTGTTTTATTCTTTTTCTGATTTACTGTTTGGCAATTACATCAGTACAGAAAGTATGTATTTTGAGATTTATAAAGGCCTACAAAACTAAAATCCTTAACTACAGTGATACTTTAACATTAAATTTTAATACCAAATATACATTTATGCACATGTTTAAATTTAACATGCGACTGTAGTCCAGACAATGCCAATAAAAACTCACTCAAACCACTGAAGCGGGCACAAATTCAAGTCATCACATTAATGCCACCAAAATATTCACTTCTAAATCAAAAAGTGAATAATTCAGGATATTACAAAACGGATTTCTCAAAAAACACAGCCCTCTAATGGCTCTGCTTTTTTATCAGCTTTTCAGAAGAACTAATTTACACACCAACTAAAAAGGAATTCAAGAAGCAAAACAAAGATCTTGAATAACTGAATAATTGCTTATCTGCATCTTATTCCTGTGGGCAGCCAAAATTATAAATTTAAGAAAAGAAGTGTGACTGAATGTACAATTTACATAAAATCCACATTTTACATGGAAACTTAAAACGGACAGTGCTGCAGTGCATTTATAACACACCCTATGCAAGGTGTGTGAGTTAACACTTAAATGTATTTTCTCATTTTCTTTTCATTTCTGGATTTGGGGGTTTGTTTTCTGGCCTCTCGTTCAAACTTGCGGGAAGCCTGTGAGCGAGTCTTTACAAGGCAGGCACTTCTGGTTTTTACAACCTGCTTGCTGTTCCGTTGCTCTTGTTTGCGCCCACGCCTAGGGTGTGTTATAATCTTTTTTAAGTCCTTACGGATGGAATCATACCTATTCTCAGGATCATCGTCATCATCTTCCTCCTCTTCCATTGGCACAGCTGCCGATTTATTCTCTGCTTCATCTCCTTCAGAAGGAAGAAAGGGCAGACATATAAGCACAAGAGAAACGCCTGCTATTTCAGGTGCTGAAGTAGCGTCATGTCAACCATTTGCATTAACAATTATCTTCCTTTATAAATAGGATTCTTACCATACTGCTATATAAACTTAAGAAACAGTTTATTTATTGGATTTATATCCCACTCCTTACCCAGAATGGCTCTCTGGCTAAGATTGTAGCTACCAAATGCAGTTTCTAGACATAACAAACAGGTTGCAAATTCAAACTAGTGCATAGTTATAGGTACCTAATAAGGTAATTCTAACTATGTACCGGTGTGCTGATACTATATAGACTTGATACTATAGACCAGGGGTGAATCGAACCGAGGCTCGTGAGCTGCAAGCAGCTTGGCCTGCTGCTCACCACCTGTTGTTGCTGCCTGTGGGCAGCTGCTTGCGGCTCTCAAACATCTGGCATTCACTCTACGAGGCTCTTCCATTGAGCAAGTCTGGCCACCCCGCTACAGACCAAGACTATACAATGTACTGGTATTCATATGCATTGAGCAAAGAACTGACATCCTGCAGTGAGTGCACAGGAATGCTTTATCTCATCCTCCACTGTTCGTGTAAGACACTACATGGGCCAGATGTGCCAGATAGTAACGCAGGCACAACTAGTTTTAATCCATAATAACCTCTCCTTTCCTTTACAGAAAACAAGGATCACACAGATATGGTCCTATGAAGTCTTGATGGGGTGCCTTGTACTTCCCTGTGGGAAGGAAGATCTGGCTGTGCTCCTTTCATCTGGGAATGACTATCCTCAGCAGACTAGTTTGTGAAACAACCTCTCTGATGGCCTACTGAACAAAAGACCTAGCTCTGAGAAGGTCAGGCGAGCCCACTGCTTGATATAGTAAAGCCTTCAAGTAGCTTGATTTCGTCAGAAATGGACACACTGAGCCTCCCCCATCTGAGTGGAACTGTGGCCCCGACATGCCTAGGTATGGCCCCCAATGTAGCTGGGAGGGATCTCTATAGATTCCAGCCCTTTATAGCTGGGAGGAAGCTCTCCAACCCATTCCTCAGGCCCCTGTGGACTATGCAATTCTGACTGTCAGGGTACTAGTCTCCCTGGCTTCAAACTCTATCAGCCACAAAGGTCTGTGCCTGAGCGAGTCCATTTGGGAGGAATAATTGGAAGGAGACTGGAAAAAGTGAGTTCACAGCCTACTTCTTAGTTCTTATCTTTGTTGCCTCCTGGTTTGAAACCGTCCACTACAACACACGAGCACTGCTACGGCATTTATTTATAGAACTAAAAATGTAATGCCTTCCTTTTCATAATGGAACTATTTCAAAAAATGATGGGGGAGAGGTACATGATTGTAAGCCATGGAGGATTCACCCAAGATGAGAGGATTATCAGTTTTCCATTGTGCTATTTCCATGGCAACTATGAATTCTGCAATACCACAGATCTGTTTGTTGGTTTTAAAACAACCAGGGCAGAGTATTTTCACAGATTTTCTGTAATTTGAGAGGAAGTAAGCATTCTTCAAGATGTCCTTAACACCTTCCAGTTTAGGGCAATGTCATGCTAAATTTGGGAAGAGAACTCCAGTGGTGGATCTGCCAGAAAAATAGCAGCATATCCTCAGACCTTAAAAGGAACACTTCTTTTTACAGTGGCAGCTAGCTATAGCTCTCTTTAAGATACTCCAAGTTGTAAGGGGCTTAAGCAGGGCTATTTTGCTCCTTTCCTCCACCATCCATCTTTTTCTAACTGAAGTCAACATCCTGTAGTTCCTCATGATCACTGAACACATTTGGGCCTCTGGCTGCCACTTTCCCAACTATGATACTGGAAAAGCTAGGTGGGTTTTTGGTCCAAGCTTTCACCCTTCTTCTGTAGGCTTAAGAACTTACACAGTAATTATAAACACCAAAACTTTCTTAAAGTTTATACTGTTGGCAAGCATATCCATTGCCTCCTCTGGTAAGCTTTGGGAAGCCTCCAGAAGAGGAAACTACAACATCTACCTTAGAATTGTGACACATGGGTATTTTGTTTAATCAGTGACAATGCAGCATTTCAAGCAGATACAGTGAAATGGTTCAGCAAGCATTAACACGATCCTCCTTACACAGATATGGCAGCTGGAAGTGGCCCTAAATTCCTATACACTGAATACCGAAATAACATCCTTCTAACCCCTGGCCATGGATCCCCAGGTCTGAAACTTCTGTGTATCCGTCTGGAAGATTCTGTTTACCTGAACTATGTTAAAATAAAACAACTCAGTTTGGACCCCAGGCCAAGTCAAGCCTCAATCCCAACAACAAGAAAAGTTCTAGTCCATGTAACTATGTAGATGGGGGAAATGTACCAGGCATTCCAAGGCAACTGAATTAAGTAAAGCTATTCCTGCCTTCTATTAATCTAAACAAAATGCACAACAACACAGGTGTGAGAGACAAACCAGGAAAGCATGTGGTCCTAAGCCTGCTTATGAGAGAGAAAGAGGCAGCATGTCAGCACCTCCCTTTTGAAAAGTACAGTGATTCTTTTTCTAGTTAATGGTGACTGCCTTGCTTTTTGGGCTGGCAGCATGGACTGGAATGTTTTCCTAGCTGCTGGACTGTCATAATAGAGTTTTTTCCATCCAAAACATAAATGTGCAAGCATATAATTCTCTTTTCTGTATGCATATATCATGTATTTTCTTTAGTTTAATGTTTTTTCATACCTTAAAATAACTGAAATCAAATTTCAGGCTACTTATTATTTAGGTTATGCTATTGCTGTGTTCTCCTTCATGGATCACTGCCTTGTCGTGGCGAAGGGGCTTGCGTAGCTCAATGAAGCTATGAGCTTTGCCGTGCAGGGTCACCCAAGACAGACAGGTCATAGCAGAGAGCTCTGACAAAACGTGATCCACTGGAGAAGGAAATGGCAACCCACTCCAGTATCTTTGCCATGAAAACCCCATGGACAGTACCAAAAGGCAAAAAGATATGACGCCGGAAGATGAGCCCCTCAGGTAAGAAGAAGGGGCCGACAGAGGATGAGGTGGCTAGATGGAGTCACTGAAGCAGCTGGTGTGAGCTTAGGTGGACTCCGGGGGATGGTGGAGGACAGGAAGGCCTGGAGGAGTGTTGTCCATGGGGTCGCTATGGGTCGGACACGACTTCGCGACTAACAACAACAAAAATTGCTGTGTTGCTTCCAAGCTTTGGAGTACATCCATTCACAGGGTCAGCATAAGCCAGAGATGACTTGAGACCTAACTGCAAAGTAGTTATTAAAAAATCAGTCAGTTTGTCCATGCTGTACTTGGGCTCAGGGATTTATCTAGAACTGATACCTCTCCCCTGGTCCCCAGCTCAGTCTTCCTCACAGGGTCATGGGAGATGCACTACATCATTAAGACTTAAAGCTCCTTACGCACGTCTTACTCTGTGAGATAACTTCCTTTATGCTCGGCATTTCATCTGGACCTTTTAATCTGTCATCATGGTCTCAGTATTTCCCAACCATGATTCTGAGTCTCAGTTTAAGTAATAAAAGCCGACTAAGTTGAACTTTGGAACACCAGTGAATGCACTGGTGACTTGGAGGACACCAGGTTAAGCCCACCTGCCAAAACAGCTGCTACTGGCAGGACCAGGAAAGGTAGTTCCTACCTGTGACCTTAACAGGGAGAACTAGTCATGAGATACCTAAATAAAGTACAAGTAAACAAAGAAGCAGAAGTACAGCTATTTTCATTATCAACAGCAGATGCCACCATGGACAGTGGAACTGCCATGGTATTGCCAATTATTTTTAATACATTTTCTGGAAAAAAGTAGGTATCTAGTTGAATTTCCATAAATTCAAGTAAAGCTTCACATCAACGTGAGCTACTTAGCTTAGAATTTTAATTCAGCAACTAAGCACTGATTCAAACTGTAGATTAGTACTCTTTCATCAACCCAGAATACTTGGTTCAAACATCACAGCAAACAACCCAGTAATAGGGCATTCCAGGACTGCTTGCTAAACCAGATGCAAGAACAACCACAAGAGAGCATGAGGCAGTTAGAGTAAATGAAATGTGAATATCCTCTAAACTAAAGCAATGGCTCCACCAGGTACAGTGAGTTAAAACAAAATGAAAAATACATTATTCCTTAAATCTGATTATTCATACTCTACCCCCCAGAGATGGTTCCTTTTCACCTGATGAAAATAATCTACTCTAGCCTGCCCAGTACCTATCGGACTTCACTTCAACCCATCCGTCATGGGCATTTCTTGTTGGTTTGCTAATGTGTGTTGCTGAGAGCCACAAAGAATGCCACGAAAAGGAAGATAACAGTACATAGTCCAGCAAGCAGCTTCCTCTGCTCGCATACTTAACCTTTCAAAGATTCAATATGGGGATTTTCTTTAAAATTCCCCTCTACAGATTTTTTTTTTACAGGAAGGCATGCAAAATATATAGAGTGCAATAAAGGGCTGCAAGAATGCTCTGGTGTCCCTTGCCTGTAAATTAGGTCACATTAATCATCAGACTCCTCTTATTGTTTAGAAAATACGTGAAGCAGGAACAATGGGAAGCTTGGTTTAAAACAGACCATTTTTCTTGCCCATTTAAATTGCTTGGGAGCAACAGCTGGAAGTTGTTGCCCTTATGTCTTTTTCGTGGGTTTCCCAGAGGCATCTGGTTTACCAATGTGGGAACCAGGATACCACTGTTTCTCCCATTTAGATACAATATAAAAATCAACATTTCATTCATGTTTAGGTTTTGACCAGTTACTTAGCACCAGTCCAAATGCAAACATAATAGCCTTGAAACCCAAATACACACCACACTGGAAAATGTAACTTTTAAAATTTTGCAGCCCTCATTCTGCTTTATCAAGGAAGAAATAGAATTTTTAGATTATGCTCACAGGTATCTAAAAAACTTTTCTGTATTAAAAATAACAACCAAAAATTTATACAATCTTTTGCACACCTGAAGACTGACAAAATCCCATTTTTGTAGCCGCCAACAAACTTTCTGTCACAGGCTTAATTTTCTGCTCATCACTGCTTTCCTCGCCTGCTGAATTCAGGTCCTCATTTTCAGCTTCATTTGATGACGACGACGTAGTAGCGGCGGAGATGGTTTCAGTCTTTGATTTTTGGGCAACAGTTTTCCCTCTTTCTTTACGAATGCCTTTGTTACTTCCCTTAGCGGGCGTCCCTCTTTTTTTATTCTTTTTCTGTTCACTGAAGTCTTCATCAGAAGAGGACAGTAAGTCTCCACTTGAGTTTTTGGAATTTTTTCTTTTGGGACTTGCTTTTTTCTTTTCCTTGGCATTACTGCCTTTTGCATTTAAGTTGTCTTCTGAAGTATCACAGACTTGTTCCTTGTTGGGAGACTTCTCAGCGTCTGAAGCATTATTCACCTGGGGCTTCTTCGAAACTCTCTCTCTCAAGTTCCTTCTGGACCTTCCCTCAAGCGCACTTTGTTGGATACTATTGCCTCCAGGAGCACTGCTGCTCTCTTTGTCAGAAGGCTTCTCAATTTCAGAAGAGGAATCACTTTGCCCCCTTCCCGGGGTTTCTCTCTGGCAGGTAGTCTCTCTTGATTTCGTGCTTTTTCTAGCCTTCTTCCTAGCATCATCTGATGATTCACTGCTCTGGTCTTGCTTTAAAGAGTGTCCTGTATCATCTAAAGGCAATTCGGATCCTTCCTTTCCCAAATGTCTGCTCCTTCTGCCTGAAACGCTACTGTCCTCTTTTTCGGATGGGACATGCTCTTTATCTTTGGTGGCTCTGTCCTTGAGATCCCTTGTTCGCTTCTCCTTAACAAATGACTCTTTACAAGATGCAACTTCCAAAGAATTGTCCAGCCTCTCTTTATCTGGAGAAGAGAATTCATCACCAGCCACTTCACTGCACAGTTCAGCCTGCTGCTGCTTTGAATTTCGCCTTCCTTTTTTATTCAGCTCCTCTTCAGAGGAACCATCACTATCTCCCTTTGGGCCTTTCTTTGAAGGCTGAGTTTTACTCAAACTCTCCCTTTCTAATTCAGAATCATAATTAGCAGGATCTGAACAGTTCTGCCGTTTCTTTTTAGCAGCAGCTAAATCTTTACTTGATTTGCCTTTTTTGGCGTCCATGTCTGATCCGGAACTGGAGCTTTTCCTTTTTCGTTTTCCATTGTCCTCCTTCACCGCTTGCTTCTCTAACGCATTTATCATATCCTTCGGCATTTCACTGTTGCTGTCAGCATCTGATGAACTATGGCTCATCACAGCTACTTCCTGCAGGACTGCAGGTACTTCATCAGAGTCTGAACTTTGGTCCACTGTATCTGGTCTGTTCGACTGAAGACTACAAACCGTGCTGTCAGGAGAGCTCTGCTTAGCTTTGCTTCTTTTGGACTGCGCACTTTTTCTTCTATGCTTTTCACTGTCTGCATCATTGCTGTCCTCTTCTGAATTAAACATTAAGGTGTTTATATCTGTTGGGCGCCTCAGAGGAGTGGTTTTAACACGAGGAGACCTTCTCAGATCATGGTCTTCTACCAATGAAAGTGTTTTATTTTCAGGTAGGGATTCAGCGCCATCACTTTCTTTTGCACCATCTCTCTTCTCTCCTTTTTCTGCCTTTCCTTCTGGATCTTCAGCTTTTACAGAACTAGAAAGGGAAACTGGAGTCAGTTTTACAACCAATTCTTTTTTAACTTTTGTAGATATCAATTTCATTCCACCTCTACTGTCTTGAGATTTTATACTTCCAGTACCCTGTTCACCCGCTTTTTGTGCTTCCAAAGAAGATTCAAAAATATCTTCAGGAACAGATGAGGGAACAGACACAATATCCATGTCTGTCGCTTCAGTACTATTGGGTTCATATTGGAGGTCATCGCCTCTCACAGTTTTTTTATCTTTGCAGCCGGTTTTTTTGCTGCTTGGTTGTTCCACTGCTGGGACACTCGGATCCACACAGTCACTGGCCTCTGATGGGATCTGATGATCTTTGAGTTCTTTTCCTTCGGGTTTCTTCACTTCACTGCTATCCGATTTAATTTCAGTTTCTTTCTCTTTGGCATTCTTTAACTTAATTTTAGCATCCAATGCTTGAATTTCCAAATTCAGGCCTTCCTCCAATGCAACGTGAGTTTTTTTAATGTCACTCAATACAGATTTAAAAGCCTTCAGCTGACGTAAGTGCACTGTTGGGTTTATTTCAGAATTTTCAGCTAACTCCTTCAAAAAATTTACAAAACTAGCATTCATGTTTGTTGTTGTTTCAACCAGTTTTTTGGTTTTTTTAAGGAGGACTTTTGGCACCATCAATGCTTTGTAGGAATAGGTTAGAGCACCAGAATATGGACGATCTATTTTTTTTTCTTCTCCATTACAACTTGAACTATTTTTCTTTGAAGAATATTTAAGTGTATTGTCATATATTTTACTTTTTTCACTGTCAACTCTGATTCGCTTTTTATTTTGCTGCAGTAATTGTTCCAAATTTTCAAATACGCTATCACAAGCAGTAACTAAGTCCAGCAAAGGTTCGGGTTGGCAAATATAGCAGTGCCACTGGTTATTTTCATCCATTATGTTTGACAGCTCCTTTCGGCCTAAGTTGCGTAATATACACTTTTTGCAGAAGGCGTTATGGCAAAAGTCACAGCAAATTAAGTTCCCACCTTCAGCACACCACCTGAAATTAAAGGTTGAACATTTTTTAAAGTCATGTGCTGCTACAAACAAATAATGAACATTCCACTACATGAATGCCCAAAGGCTGTTACTATTTACAAGAATGCAGGTAGCTACTTAAGAAGACAAGCCCATCCCTCTTATCTACTACAGGGAAAAGGGGAAGCTCATGCTGCAATTGGCTTCAGAGGTACTTGGTGTGGCTTATTCCCAAGTAGATGGACACAGAATCGCATTTTTGCATTCTTTGCATTCGCAAAGAGGTCCTTAGGGGAACGAGAGCTTTGAGAAGGCCCTGCACAGCTCAACTCACACTTTCGCCCTTGGTTCTGCTGAAGCATGCATTTGGCATCAACTTACTTTCTGCCACTAAGAAATCAATTAATTAATTTGGCATATACTTTAACTAGCAAGAAACATACAAGGTGGAATCCCACACCAGGCAAGCATTTCAATGGACTTTTGGCTTGGATATATTTCACTGCCGGCCCCAGCCTGGTACTCTCCAGAAGCCTTGGAATACAATGCTGAATATTCCAGACTGGGGCTGACTGGATTTGAAGTCCAAAATTTCTGCAGTGCACCAGGTTGGAGAATGCTGCTTTAGGAATATACAAATCATTATGCTTTGTTCCTACAATTATTAAAATTGAAAAAAATTAAAGCAAAACTGGTAAATTTGTCATTATCGTCTTAAAAAAACCCTATACTTTTTAAATTACTTATATCAAACATGACCATTTTATAAGCAAACCTAGTTACACATAACGTGTAACAGGTCCCTGTTTTATGTCTGACCAGAAGCACTTCAACATTTACTCTGCCAAAGATGTAAGTCACCCTAGAAGCCAAAAGAAACAATAACTGGAGGCAGAGGAAGACCAGGCTACAGCATCTTTTTCCTTTAAAAGAATTTTATGTCCATATGAAATTCCTAAACTTATTCTTGTTTGTGGGGTGGAATTTATGGAAATCTGGTCTGAAAGAAAACCCTTAAAGGTCCTTTAAGCAATCCCAACCTATTAAAGAGGGACATTTTATTCTCATTTTAAAGTAACTTCTAGCAATACACATCTTCTTTTGGTTTTATTTTGAAAGGCTGTATCTGGTTGTCATGTCAGTTCCAACCCTGTGATACAAAACAGGCTACTGAATTTGTTTTAGATGGAGAGGGTTTATTCTAGTGGTAGGACTTACAGCATCCCTAAATATCTCTCAGTAAAAAACTATCAGAGATCAATACTTTTTGTAAGCAATGGAAAAATAATTTTACTGGATATCTTGGAGAGAAGATTAAAAAAATTTTTCACCATGGCTTCCAGAAATTTTACTTCTCTTGACAATCTATTAATGTTTTATTAAGTAGCTGTTAGAAATCATTTGGTGGGAGGAAAGGTTGCCTTAAATATTTTATTCATTATTATAAACTAAAGTATTTCATAATTGATATCAATTTTTCATTTTTTTGAAGGGAAAAAAAACCTCTTAAAAGTGCAGAAAAAATATTTTTCCAGGTAATGTATTTCTTAATAAAGCCTCTGAAAATAACACACATTTCCTGAAATTCAATTCTGTTTCTCAATGATTGGCTATGTCGCATGGGAGCAAATTTCTGTGTATCGAACAAGACATGCCCTTTGCAGCAGGGAACGGGGCTGCACGGTTCTTTGCATCCTAGGGTTACATTGCAAGTACCAAATCTGATTCTATGGCGGGGTCCTATACACCTACCTACACTGTTCATCCATTCCATCTGCATCACGGCTGATATCGTCACTCATATAGTATTTGAAGCAGGTCTATGAAGAAGAGAAATTAATTTTTTTTCAGAAACCTCATTCAATTACATCCTGGAAAACATTCTTCCTGACCTCAAACTAGCATTAAAAATGGCTGGTCAAGTATCAACACAATGTAAGGCTGCCTGCAGTTTTTGGGGAAGAATGGGGTACTAATGTCATTTCTGTGGACCCATGTCAAATTTAGAATAATAAAGCATTGCTCAAAATCAGCACATGTGTTTATTTTACAATCACCCTGCCCTGAAACGGCTCATTAATGTCTTCACTTTCACTGAAGAAGTAGGATATGCTAGCAAAACCCCATTATTTACTTACTACATTAATGTCCCAGCTTCCCATAAATGATGCTCAAGGTAGCCAGCAACAGACCCCAGAACAGGAGACAGTAACAGGCGACTGGGTACCAGACAGAAGGAATGCACCCTTCCTGTGCGGAAATGCATGGCACTCTTTTGCACACACAGACATGTGTGTGCATGTGAACATGCCTCTGTCAGAGAAGGCAAGCTGAATCCATGCTCAATTCACAGTCCGTGCTCAGCATGGACACTGCACAGGTGCTGCACTCTGCCTGCTGTGCCCCCAAGCTTCCCATAGGAGTACAACCACAGCAGGTGTGGGGCATCTCAGGCCCAGAGGCCACGCCCAGCCTTCCTGCGTCCCAAGATGGCCACACCTCCTTTCTTTGGTGCCAGCCCTTTTGCCCACCACTAGTCACACGCTGGTTTCCCAGTTTTTCCTTTCTTCTCCCATTCTCATAGGACAACATGCTTCTCAATAAGGCTTATGGACTGGTGCCAGGAGCTTTAAGTTACAGTACACTGGCACTGTTTGTATTTTGAAGCTACCCCCTTTGTCTTTAGCCCGGGCCACCACTGGAACGCAGCCTCGAAAGCCTCTGCAAATTATTGCACCCTTAGCCTGAAAGAGGTTCCACACCCCCGAGGTAGGCAAATTTAGCCAGCAGAACTGTGGGGATGAAGCTACCTGTTACCAGCCTTGCCTGAATCCTTTTTCTTGCAGGTAAAAGTTTCTGACCTGAGAGGTAATGCAGAAACTGGCTTCTATATGATGAAACCACAACTTCATCCAGAATAAAATGAATTCATGGAATTATATCTTATAAAATACTGACACACACTTCAAATGTTGACATACCTTGCAAATTAGTACTTTTAATGTGGGATGCCTGTAGATTGAATCTTTCTGAAAATGGTTCACCTGCTGACCACAAGCTGTACAGCTGACAATACCATGCAGCCCTTCTTCTACAAAAATATTTTTACAATTAGTGCACATCAGAGAGATGTTGTTGGTACATTTTAAAATTCCTTTCTTCAATCACATTTCATTTAACCCATTTCTCTAGAAAGGCAAATTATTGCAGTGGTGCCACTTCTTTAACACTACAGATCAGTAGACTCACCTTTCCAAGTTTCTACTGAGATGCACTGTTGAAACAGCAGCAAGGCAAAGCCAGGAATCCCCATCAGCACAAGTATTATTATTTATTATTTACTGACTGCTTAATTTAATAAATTTACACAGTGCTTGACGTATTTATAAGCATCTTTATGCTGTCCACACTGAAGATAAAACACATCAACAGAGTGGTCTTTTGGCCACCAGACATTAAGGACACAGGAAAAGCCAGTCCGAACCAGCCCGACGGTCCATCTGGTGCAGCACTCTGTGCACATGGTGGCGGCCGGCTGCCCACAGCATCCCTCAGGCAGGATGGGTGCAAGGCCACATTACAGTGCTTTTCTTCTTGTGAGGAAACCAAGGTGGCTTACAGAGCTGCACTGCATCCTCGCAACGGCATCAGACGGAGAGTGCGCAACTGGCCTGAAGTCAGTTTCACGGCCAAGCGGGGACTAGAACTCACATCTCCCACCCTCCAGCCAAGGCTAAGCGTGCCGCACTGGCTCTCAGTGTAAGCAGGTGGCACTCCAGCCGCCGTCTTTCCCCTTAAAAGCATCACGGCTGGAGGGACTTCTGCGGCAGGAGCAGGGCAGTGAAGGTGCATTTCTGACCTGCTTAGGATGCCCGTAACCCTCCAGTTTCAGAGACTTACAGGCACCCCCATTGGACAGCCACCTAAATACTTTAAAGAACACTGTGATATACATTGAAACACAACTAAAATGCCTATTTGTTAAAATATATTGATAAGTATTGCACATAATACAGCACCATACTTAACAAGCCACCAAACTGGAATGCACATTGACTCGGGGAAGTCCTGGGTAAAGAGATGGGTCTTTAACTGGCCCCTAAAGCCTGGTGCGTCCCCAGAGAACAAGCTGCAGAGAGATCCACAGGCTGGGCAGCACCAGGAGGAAGCCCGCTTCCAAGCTGCTTCAAGGCAGCTAACAGCAGAGCACTGTACAACCAGGCCACTGGTGCGGGACACTGCGCATTTCATCATTGTCTATCATGTGGGGGGAGGGGGTTGGTCATCTCTGCCAATGCATTGGACTGGATAACCCAAATGTCTATTATGAGAAAAGAAGAAGAAAAGTCCTCCATCTACTCTCTCCACACAGTATAGAATTCTTTAAATATGCATCACCAGCAGAAAGAACAATAGACTTTTCTTAGCATCATTCCCATTTTGAAGAGCGCTCATTCAGAGAAGAAACATACTGGGAATCAGCAGATACTGCACATTTTAATAAGTTAAACAGAAAATTTTAATATATCACTTAGAATTCATGATGTATTTACCTCCACGCTTCTTTTGATTTTCAGGTTTGATTTTAGCAGTATTTCTGCTCCTAAATTCAGGTCCTTTAAAGTCATCTTTGTCTTCATTAAGTACTGGCTCTGGCTGCACAACTATTGTACCTAATGGAATGTTTAAAAATGAAAAATTACTTTTAAAAAACGCAAGGGAAGTTCCCCCATCTAAAAACCAAGCACCTATCCACGTACACCAGAGCATTTTGCATACATGGATAATCAACGTCTTTCTCCAACGGTAAGAGAAGCCTGGTTATAAACCAGATGAGCTCAGGCACGGAGCACTGCATACAAACATATATTTAAGTTTACAAACAACTTCCAGAAGAAAGATTCCACACATGATGTTCCATTTATATTGCTCACAACCTTAGCATATTTTCAAAGAGTCCATCAGGGCAGCCAGAAAAATGTGTTTAAGGGGTGCATCTAGTCCAAAATAACACTTAACTGTCCATCCACAGCATTCAAACATCCATGTAGTAACACCAAACTGAGGGATAAAAATAGATACTTTATTTAAATAATGTAATAGGCAAAAGCAATCTATTTCATTTTAGGTGTAACAAGCAAAGCAACCCCAGGGCCCCTAAAAAGAGCTCCAAGAACACAAAATTGGCTCCAGAGCTGGGAAACCACGCCTGGATCTCCCTTCTTGGCCCCCGCAGCCAGTGGAGAAGGCACCGTGCCGGCTGCTCCTCCACCGCTGCAAAGAAAAGCAACTGTGGAGTGAGTGAGTGCTGGGTGGGGAGGAGAGAAGCAGTGCCAAGAGAGGAAGCATGACGGTCCTGCCACTGTCTCTTCCTTCCCTCCTTTGCGAAGCACCAGTTCGGCGGGTGAGCAGGGCATAAGGATCATGGAGACAACCTCCACCCCGTACTTCTTCTGCTCTGCAGTTGTTGTTGGTAATCCTCTTGAGTTCAGAGGGTTGCATTAATCTGCACATTACATTAATATTAAATAATCTGAATAGAAGCACTTCAGCTCTGCACTTACGCTCTAATCTAAAACACTGACTGTGCTGGGCACAATGGGCAGGCTTTTCAATGGAAGCAAAGAACCAATCTGTCCATTTCCTAAAGACAGACTTGAAAACAAACCGACAGGCATTCCATTTTCACCTGCTGAAAGCGATCTGCTCTAGTCTGTGCAGTGACTATCAGCACTTGCTTCAACCATTCAATCCACGGCCCATCACATTTGTTATGAGCTTAGGTGGAGCGGGGTGGCGGGTGGCGGGTGGCCAAGGAAAAATGAAGCAAAGAGCACACCGAAAAGAGGCAGAAAGTCAAACCTTGTCCAGTGAGCAAGTTCCTCTCCTCACATACTCAGCTCCTCAGACAGCCATGGGGGCTGGTCTGAACCAAGATCCACTATGAGAATACGTGGCGGACGCTCCCTCTCGGTAAAAAAAGGGAAGTGGTGCTGCACAAGGCAGAGACTGAAGGTTGCCACAAGAATGAAAATACACTGTAACTGCTGCCATACCAACTGCTGATTAATATAGTTTGGCAGGCAGATTTCCACCAGTGTTCAGGAAAAACAAAGTATCACCAACAGGACAGTTAGTTTACATTTCAGATTTTATGGATATACTGTTTTCCTATGCTGTTTACCGTTTCTTGTATCCTATTTTATTCTTTTAGCTTTATGTAATCTGACCAGAGAACTTCCATTACAGGACAGATTAAAAAGGCAACAAATAGATAAGCAAACAAGCCATTTTTCTTGCAGATCCAGCTTAATTTATACACACTTGGAAGGACAAAACACTAGCTATCATTTTGAGGATCTCTCTGCATTTGAATATATATCCTACAGCTATCCATCTCACTTGAAAGTTTATTCAGATATACGAAGCACATGTATCAATGTAAACATTTAAGACATAACTGCTGTATTTTTACTAGTGATGCTGCAACCCGACATCTCTCTCGTCCATTTTTGCCTGTTGTATGTGCAAATCATTTTTTAAAGAAGTTGGGGCATGCGTGCAACAAACACAACCCTGCCAGTTCTCTCCCACAATGGTGGCACACTGCCTCCAATACTGGAGATAATATATAGTCATCATAACCGGCACCTTTGAGAATGGTACATTTATATTCTACCTTTTTGCCCCTTACAAGGAACCCTAGATGGAGTACATGATTCTTCTCTTCCATTTTATCCTGACAACAACCCTGTGAGGGAGGTTAGGAAGAAAGGTGGTGATGTGGCTTGATGTCCCCTCGTGAGCTTCATGGCCAAATGAGGACTAGAACCTGGGTTCCCCAAGGCCCCCTAACCATTACACCACATTGGATGAATTCACACAGCACAGTAGCCCGCCCTGAGGATAAGCTATGCTGTGTGGGTTGATCACAGAAGAACCCACAGTATGCCTGACAGACAACGGGGCTCACGATGGCTGGTGTTCCCAGCAGATGGTCAGGTTCACTGTGGGTCGTCTCCTACACGTGGCCTTCCATCCAGCAGCCCAGGGAGATGAGTGGCGGAATCCATCTCGTCTCCTCTCCCCTGCAGTGATGACAACCCCTTCTGAGGGCGATACAGCTTCCTCCCCAACCTGCTGGGCATCACGTTTTGTGATCTGTGACATTGGCCGGTCCATCACGGGTTCACCAGCATTCTTTTTCAATTGAGCCACAAATAGAGACAAATGGTTTGGATATTTTTCCCCAATCGGTAGTTCTGAACTGAGCAAGTAAGTATACAGCTCTAAATACCCCAAGTTGGAAGCACAGCCTGATCAATATCCTGGTGAGTATCTGCTGTCAAGGCAGGTATTTATGCTTAGACACTGACAAAAGTCAGGCTTGAAGTATGTCAGTTTGCTTTCACTTGACAGCAAGAAGATCTTTGCTGGCCGGAGCAGGCAGCAAAATCCTCTAGATTTTAAGCATGGACATGACAGTTCTCAAGGTCCTCCACCTAGCCTAGCCTCGAGGTGCCTGGGAAGGTGGAAAAAGTGCAGTCTAAGCCATTTAAAGGAACACTTGTTTCTGACAGCTGTCATAAGTAAGACTCTTTTTAGAAATAAAGTTTTTGACAGGGCTAAATAGGTTTAAAAACAAAGACTTGTATTGTGAAGGCCACATTAAATATCTAAGGGATCATGCTGCAAACAGGGTGATCAATAGCACACAGCAATCCCTCATACTTTTCAAGCCTAAGCAAACACTATTTTTATCACCTTCAAATTATCCATTCTTTCTCAAACAAAGATATACCATGGAAATAAAGTCACATTTTCACTAACATTGTAATTGTATTAGACATTTAAAACACTATGGATATTCCTAATATACCATGCATTTGTTTTATTATGCATGTGTTTCAATCATCCATTTCAGATGTAATCAGGTGTCTGCAATTTCAAGGAGACCCAGAATAGAAATTATTTTAGTTCCTGTTAGCAGGCGTTCATCATTGGGGGATTTTTAGAAGCGCAAAGTCCTCAACATTAACAGCAATTTGACTACTTTACAAAAGGTGCTTTAGGTATCCTATACTCACACCAATTTCTATACATTGAGTCAGCTCAGGATGTGTCTAGCAGATGATCAAACAAAGCCAAGGTTCATTTTCTTAATTCCTGGGTTGTTTCTTTCTCTTTTTGCATAATTGCCAAAGTTGGTTTAAACAAGCCATAGTTCACAGCCCCACAGCCACTCTTTCTGGTTGTTTATGGTTAACAAGCCATGGTTTGCTAGCAGAGCTACGTTCGCATATTGCGACAAACTGGGATTCAACAACTCATTGCCTGCACCTTTGGCTGGTCCAAAGTTCGTTTCTCGAAGCCACTTCTAGCTGCTTCAATCAGAATACGTAATTTTGCTGATATTTTTAGACACCTGACGGCAGCCAGCACTCCCATTAGCAGTAGTTTTCTATTATGTCCTGTTTCCTATTCCTATTGTAAACTGCTTACAAACTTTCTATGGAGATGCAGATGGCATAGAATAAATAAATATTATGCCACTAGTGGTGGTAAAGAGATGGGTTTGCTTTAGAACAATATTTAGTTCTGAAATACACAGGAAACAGTAGCTAAAATTCTAGTTTTTATGAACCAGGATCAAAATAGGACTCCTGGTCAACTTTTCATCATTTCCTTGCAGCCGGGGCAGGGAAAGAAAGGCAGGAGAGCATGAGCTAGGCAGGGACTTGTCATACCTCATGGGAGTAAAAGGAAAACACAGTTTTGATATTTACTTGAATTATTTAGGTGACATTATCTGAACAGATTTTAATAAACACCAGTCACATGACCTCAGTACTTGTTAACTTGCAATTCAATTACCTTTAGGCAAGCTTTTCATATCAACTTCATTTTCCGAGTTTTCATTCGAAATATCTTGATTCATGGTTTCATCTAAAGTCTGTTCATCATCTGAGCCAACATATTTTGTTACAACTGTGGGTTTCCTGCATGAGCAGCAAACACAAACAGAAGACCACCCATCACATGAGGCTCTTTAGCAAACTCCTCGAACGAAGCAAAGTGTGTGATTTTGCACAAGCTTCAACTCCTTCTCTTATGACAACACTGGGGTTTTTTTTACAAATTTTAGCGTGAACTACAGAAAGTAAAGGCTCTTCGTGTTATGAAAATAAGCAACCTGGGGTCCCTTGAAACTGAACTTTGAGAAAGGCAGATCATACATACTACAATAAAACCTCCCTTAAGGCATCCATCCAATGGGGCTACCTGCGACCCTTTAAACTGTTAGGATTATGGGCATCCAGTAGTGGGAGGAGGGAACACAGAGGCAAGCGCTGCCTCCACCCGTCCCTTGCCCTCCACTCAACTGTCCAGGGTTTAACCGCTGCTTGACAGAAAGGAGGGCTGAGCAACTGCCTGGATTCCTCCTATCCCATCGCACTCTGTCGCCCAGAATGCCCTCGGTGCTGAAGCCAGCACAGAAACAACTTCACATTCGGAAACCCAGCTCAGACCTTGGACACTTTCCCAAGGTTGGACGTGGGGCTCCAGATCCGCCTATGGCCGTCTAGGCAGCAACTAGTAGCCACAAGATTGTGCCATTAAACGGTCTGGGGGAGTGCCCCAAATTCTGGGGGATTACACTTAGAACAATCAGATTTGTACTGTTTCCTGAAACAATAGCTCTCAGGCACGATCAGCTCAAAAGCTAACTGAACATTACTTTTAGGAAAAAAGACAGCATACCACTATCCCTGATGTCCCCACTATTTTTTTGTTTTGTTTCGCCTTGACAGTTAGTATGGCTGTCAGGGATTCTAACAAGCAAGTTGACCTCCTGACCAAAGGGGGCAATTCAAACAGACAAATAAGAAGCATATCAAACTAACCTTTTGGAACGTGATGATCCTAAAGATTTGGATCTTTCAGAAGAGCTACTACCCTAAATATGAAAAAACACAAAATTGCAAGCCTCTTATGCAAAATCAAAACCATTTTGCCCCATATGTGTACATCAACCTGAATATAAATTCCCATAAAGCTGAATAATAATTTCATCCTACTTCATTTTAAGCTTTTATTTCTATTTTTAGAAAGAGCAGATGAAGTATTTTCCACACATGGGCAGCTGCAGGAAGGGGCAAGCTTGACCCCTGCCTCAGAGAAGCCTTAACCTCTAGATTCCCAACTTTAATTAAAAAGAAAACAAAACCCCCAGATTCTCAGAATATTTTGCCAATCTGTGCAGGCTTCTAAATATCCTGGAAGATGACTCTAAACAATGCATGTGCAGACAAACAAAGAAAATACACAGCTGTGGTGCAGCAGCTCATGTTCTTTGTGCAAACTAAAATCACACATGTCTGAGCAGCTTTTAACCCTCACTCACACCCCCCCCCAAAAGTTCTTGCAGATGCCCATGCGTCTGCAAATATATGTCATCAATTATCAATGGAAATGTGAGTCATCTAAAAAGTTAACACTGGGCTTGAAGTCTTTTAAAAACTTGCCAATGAGGCACTGCAAGGGCAGAAGATCCTGTGTATCAAAGTCCACCTGAGAAACAAGCTTCTATGAATACTATAAATTCCAGGACAGCAAGTGACTCCATGGCCTATCATAAACTAATCTCCTTAAAATCGTAACCCTAGAATGTGGTGATGGGCTGCAAGACATGAAGCAGGGATCATTTTTTGGCCCCTGCAACACAACACAGAAATTAAAGTTGATCTCAAAAGTCACAGTGGAGACAGGGAACACAGACTCCTAACCATGATTAATGTGCAAGACGATATACCACTTAAACTCTGACTCTAGGGAGGAAGTGCTCACCCCCTGCACTGGCTCCCAGGAGACTGCAGTCATGTCTAGAGTGGGCCAGCATTGTTCCCATGGAATGATAACATAGGAAACTACAACGTACATTGTGGGTGTTTTCTTATTCACTACCAACTAAAAGTACTTTAAAAAATGCATGAGTAATTTTCAGGAACGTACTCATTTGCAAATGAAGGCTATTCCATTGCTAAACTAAGTGCTTAATCATAAAGATTTAATATAGAGAAACACTGCTTGAATTTAACAAAAAACTTGACAGTCATCAAATGATACACAGAACTCCTAGACAGAATTTTTATTTTCCTGTCATCAAAAAGCAAAAAGCTCAGCTATTGTTCTATTTGTATAGTGATGACTAGATTATTACAGTAGTCATTTCTAAAACATTGTAACATTTTATTAAAATTGCTTCTAAAAATATGTTCCATAAGGTTATAAGCTACAATATAACAGGGAAAGTAGATCATATTTACACTCCTATCGAAACGGTCACCACTTTTCACAACTAGTTTACATTACTGTAAACCTATGCATAGGATCGTGTTCTCACCTCTTCTTTGTTGTTTTCCATTGGAGTCGGCATATTTCCAGGTGTACTAATTTTATCTGTAATAAACAAAAACAAGATCTTGGGATGTAAGAATGGCTAATACTTGTTCAATATACAGAAACAACAAATGTATTCATTATTGCTGTCATTATTACTATTAATTGGTGCACAGCAAACTCCACCTTGCATTGCAATGAACGACTGTATGAAGCCAGAAACAAAAAACTAAGTTAGATGCTGTCCTTTCAGCCTGCAAATATTTGAGTAAAGTTACATGGGGAGGAGTTTTCTTGTGAGCAACTTTATTGAAAGATGGTACTTATTTGCACTTGATACATGCAAACTCTCATGAACAGTACATCTTATCTGCCAGTTCAGTAGGCACAGGACTTCACTGCAAATTCGCTTGACGGAATTATGCTTCAAACTAAATTTAACAGCCATCTGCAGTTTGGAGAAAACAGCAATACCCCTAAGAAGTAATAGGTAGCCAATGTGATGTCAGCAAGAATATTTTTTTAGATCAGCATAAGAAGAACAGGGAACTAAGCTTTGGATGTAAGTCTTCAACAATGCAACCGGACTGTTATAGGAGCTGACAGATACCCATCCAAGTCAGCCTTCCTGCCTCAGCTGGTATTTTACTGAATTAGTTCACTGCTGTTCAACATCACCTTCTGCATGTAAAAAGCAGAAAAACTGAGATAACAAAGGAGACCCAGAAGCAGTAATTTCAGGTTCAGTGCAACACCTTGCGATGTACTTGGTTTTCATCTATCAGTATGATGGCTGGCACGCAATCCACGGAACACGAAGCACCTGTACCTCTGCACACACGTCCCTGCTCACCTCAGAGAAGGGAATTAGTCTACGCAGAACATGAAACCAAACTGAATATGGAAGCAATGGTTGGCAGGGTCATTTTACACTTCAATAATCCCTTGAGTACAACAGATGGCTGTACTGGATACGAAAATGCTTTTAGGCACTATTAATGGGTACTTCTTAAAATTATTACACTAAATCAGAACTGTAAAACATTCCAAAGCCAGCCTATTAGGAGCCCTCAAAGAGTTAGGCACTACAGGTCTGAGTATGTTTTCAAACCCACAGAGTTATCACTGAGTCATTCGGACAATTATTCCTCATGCTGATGATCCATTATGGTTTATATCAGGACTCCAGTCATCAGTTCTGGCTTTGATGCACTTCAGTACTTTTGGCTGTTGCACTGAGGTCTGATAAGGGGCAGCTTCACCTGGGCAATGTCCAGGAAGGTACCTGCTGGCAAAATGTAGCAAATGCCAAACCTGAGCAATGATTAAGAGAGGCTCTGAATAGCTCTTTTAGTTTGCCAGCTTTCAAAAGGTACACTGCCAACTTAAAGGCATGAATTATCTTTGCTCATGAAAAGGGGTGATGGAATTTACACACTTTTCAGAGCATGATCCTCATCTTTCGGAGAGTGGAGACTCGACTGTCCTAAGGATGCTTTAAGTTGCCTCTAGGTGCTCAGGAACATGGGAAAGCACAACACTTATACAAAATTCCTACATCCCTGTGAAAATACAATGGGGAGCCCTGCCACAAACAAAGCCAGAAATACCTTGGGATTATTCAAAGCCAGAAATACCTTGGAAAGGGATACAACTTCCAATTAACGAATCTGACTTCCTAAATTGGGCCTTATATCACTTCATAGCCTATTTCATAACCTAGTATTGAATTCTGTTATTTTCCACTTAGATTATGATTTCCTTGAGTTTTTGCCTTTTTCAGCTTGCGTGCTAAATAGTTGCATGCTATGCTTTATAATACTTGCAACGGCAACATTTGTTAGAATCTGAGTTTGGCCCTTCCACTGTTAAAGCTTCAAAGGCTCCTTCACTTCTGGAAGCACTTACTGAGGTGCATCAATTAGATCAACTCATGATCCATGTTTAAGTGTTACCCATGAATGAATATGATATACAGCATCTTAAGCAGAAGTGAAATAAAGAACTGGATTGTCCTATCTTGTATACTTTTGTATCTATATCTGAAGTACACAGATCTCAAGTTACGTCTTATTCAGCAAAAACTGTTTTCTATTAGACATCACAGTATCTCTCTAATATTTACAGATATACATACTCTCTTGAACTGCCTACTTACTTCCTGGAAGCGAGCACACAAAGTACAAATGCATTCTCCACCCCATTTGACAGCTAAAAGATTGATGTTACAACATTCGACAGATAAATGCATACTTCATACAGTGTAATGGGCTGAGGACCACTTTCAACATTAGAATGGGTACTATGCGAACACCACTTGCAAACAGAAACCCTATGAACATTTGGTCTGCCTTGCCTGAAAATTATATATAATTCTAAGAAAACTGTATTTTATTCACATATGCACACACACACTCCTCATATGCATGTATTGAAATAATAGACAACTATATTAATTCATTTTCCTGATCTTACAAGAAATATATTTTACAGTAATTAAATGTATTAGAATTCCTCTGGTGTGCTAATGCATCAAGGTTGCTTTATTCTTCACAAATCTTTCTAAATTAGCTGCAGTGAGATGAACAAAAATGTAAATGCCAAAGGTAAATGCCAAATAATTAAAGGAATTAAGACTGATACATAGAGAAAAACAATATAGCTTATTAGATAGTCCTAACAGAAGGAAAAATGAAATACGGGAAAAACTATAGTAAAATGTTAATCATTTGGGTACAAAATGCCTAAGCTAAACATCAATCATATATTATCTCTTTATCATAATTAATCATGTAGGCTTTCTGGAAAAAATCCTATGTAATTAGTGTAACCTACATTTGAAAATTTTCAGTCTAAAGCAGGTGTCTCCAACCATTTTGGACCTATAAATCCATTTAAGAATTCGAGAAACTGCTGGGAGCTCCTGCAAAACGCCTAATCAGTGGATTGCCACATTGGTGTCTACCTGTCACATCTACAGATAGTGGGCTCTGTCCTATTCAGCTGAAGCTTTTGTGTCTATCACACACTGCAATGTCACCTTAATAAGGGGTTGCCTAATTTTACTACTTGGTTACACTGCAATACAGCTCCTGAATATTTTAAACCTATTCCATTGCCAATATCCAGTAGTTATTTTTCTTCTTTTTGGGAGAAGGTTAATACACAGAAAAAATGGAACTAGAGCAGTCTTTAATATGCACTGACGTGGATGTTGCTCACATTGTTTACCTTCTTCATAGAAATTAAAGAAACAGTAATAGAAAGCAGATTCTTTGAACCTTTTGACAATGAAAAAATTGGCATTATAGCACTGGAAGAATAATCACTCTCCTCCTCTGCTGCAATGGACTGTGGATGTTACCACACTTTCGACTTTCGATAATTGAATGGGTAGCATATAGGTGCCACCTTCTTCAAACAGAGGCTTATTTGGCTCTTTGGTCTGCTTTTGCAGAAGCTTAATTATAAATGTTCCAAAATTATATGAATTTCATACTGATATACATGGAGAAAAAAAATCAGAATATTTTTGCAAGTTCCCATGGACTCCATGTTGGGAACTTCTCCAACTACCACAGGAGGGATCCCTGATTTGAGCAGGACTGAATTTAGCCTGACTATTTTGCTTGCATTTAATTAAAGCACCTCTACTTATTTTTCATCCTGCTATACTACAAGCATTTGACCCCAAAAAATGCAACTAAAAGTTAAAACACACTTAATGCAATTTGAATGTTATTTTATGTAGACATTTTATTAAAATACTAGTAACAATTTAAAGACAAAATTGAATTTAGTTCAAATGTAAGAAAAAACACAGTGCTAAAAAAGTTCAAACGTAATTAATAAGTTATCAACCCAAAGAACTTGCACAATGTACTGATAGCCACTCATTTATTTCAATGTAGTTCAACTCTCATCTTTCAAGGCTGTTGTGACAGTGAAGTTATAGATGTCCTGACTCAGTGGCTTTATTTCACACCAAGATAAATAGCCCAAGGCATACCTGTATTCTCTCCTACCTGCTACTAGGGATAATCACCTGAAAATGATTGATTAAAACTTTGAAACTGCCAAGCTCCCTCAAGGTTGTATTTGCAATTGGCGACTATCCAATGCTACTAAAGAATGTAGGAAATGGAAAATTCTTCATGTAAAAATGGAGCATTGGATTTTTTTCTGGAAAAGTTTCAATCTGGGACAAATTCCCCATGGATCATTTTCTACCCCAGTCCATTATATCCATCAATGAGACACTAGCAACACTATTTCACTGCGGCCTATCTAAATGGGTGGTGAGTAGCATGACAGAAAAACTCAGTCAAATCTGTGGCTCTTGAACAGTTAAATAATAATAAAGCCCTTTACCTATATTTTTGCTCATAGGTAATCTTGGAGGAGAATGTGCGTCCTCAGATTCTTCTGACGAGTGAGCCAAGAAGTCGTGAAGCTTCTGCACCAATGTATTCAACTTGCTTTCACTGTTAAAAACAGATACACCGTTTGAATGTATCCCATTTTTGTGAATGGTACTTGTTAGCGTGAAATGCACTCTACATCTGCGGTCGCTAGCACTACAAAGCCCCCTAAGCAACAGCCAGGGACTGTTCTCTGGAACCAAGGAATACATGCAAACCTCAAGTGAGGAGTGGAGAGCAGGGGGGAAAGGGGGAAGGAACACACCTTGCCTACTCGCCTACCTGCCGAGGTGCACACACTTGACTGGGCTAATTCACTGCAGCCACTGTCAGCGGCACGTCCTTGTGATTCCAAAGGGCTACATTAGTCTTCCTGTCAGAACGATCGGTTACGTTTCCGGTGGTAGTTGCATGAGGCTGAGCAAGCAAGTATTGTGTTCTTAAAATTATGATTGCCCTGTTTAGAATGACTGGGAAAAAATCTAACGCACAGTCCACACTGGGGGAGAAGGACAGGTTGGATGGACAGCTTCCTGTCTCCCTTGCCTGACCTCGCCAGAGAACACTCACCGAGAACAGAGACCGCGTAAGATGCCAGCTCCCATGAGCTCCCGCTCTGACTCTGAGAGGCAGGTAGTAGGGGAAGCAGGAAATTCTGCCCCCTGTGCTGGGACTCATGGCCACCCCATTTTTCCTGCCACCTCCAGTTTTGTGGAAGGCAGCAAAACCGCACCTATATCTATTTGGCAGTTTGGTTTTCCCCTCTCTAGAATTCCTTTTTCTGTTTGCTCTCATGGCAACTTTGAATCTGCTCCCGTGTGGTAGGCAGGAAGCAGAGACTGAAAGGGAGGAAGATGATGGGGAGAAAGAACTGGAACCAGCAGCAACATGCCTCCCCGCCCTTCGTGGCTGGTTTCCTTCCTGCAGTTCAGCAAGTACCTCCATCCACTGCTGAGCTGGACTGATCTCTTAGCGAATCAAGCAACAGAGGGACAAAGTTTCAAATGGTCCCCATCCTGCCTACGTGTAGCACTGGCAAGGAAGCCTGTTGCTCAGCTGCGTCAGGCCCCAGGATCTGGTGCCCCAGGACCTAGCCCAGAGCAGCCAGCCTGAGGCCCGGCCCCGAGGCACAAAGAGAGAACGCAGCAGGGAAAACTGTGGACCCCATTCGAGTAAAACTGGTTGAAGAAATGCTTGCTGTTCTCAAATCAATCATGGCTGGGGAGCAAACTAGGCGCCCACAATTTCTTAGAAAGCAAAGCAGGAGACCAAGTCATTCCTCCCCTTGTGATGGGACAGATACACCTTTTCTTTAGCCTTGCCCTTCTCATGGAGGAAGCAAGTAAATCCACCCCTCGTAGCACCACCCTCCCTCCCTCCACCCACCGGGGTACAAGAGCACCCCAACTGCGCCCACTTCATTCTGACACAAGCCGGTGACCATTTGTTTTCACGGAGGATTCCAAGCAGAAGCAAGAGAACTCCAGCTTCCTTGTGCTGCCCTTTCAGCTCCCAGTCCTTCCAGCCTGCCCTGCCCTGCCCTCTTAGGATCATAGTAGCTTAGACAATCACAGGTAACAACTTTTCCATCTGCTTCAAGCTTTAGTAACATTAAGACAGCTCAGCTGATTATTGCCATTAGCTTCAATACCTCCACCGAAGTCCTTACCTGCAGCATATTTCAGATACCTACAATTCATAGCAAGTTGATACACTTACTATGAATCCATCACCAGAATAGAATTTTTAAAAGAGCAAGATAGATTCAAAATGAATCACACACCTTGCTTTAATACTCATTTTTGTATTTTTTTGGTTTCCAGTTTGTCAATTACCTATGCCCAAACAACATTTTTCAAGTGTCACCTGCCCAGTTCCTATTCAAGCGCCTCTTCTATTTCTGTTACGTTAGGAAAGCTATAACACAAGAGTGTTCTGGTCTGAATTCTGTGTCCAGACTGCACTGGCTCTGCTTGCATCACACAGATTCCTGGGTTAACGGTTTGCGGGCAGTGTGCTGGTGCACCTCCTTGGCTCTTCCATGGCTCAACCAACCAGGAAGGTGCCAAGTAGCAAACATGTTGTGCTGCATTTGAACCAAGATTTCTGGTTTGTCACTTTTCCTAACTAGCCAGAATCTGAAGCCATACTTCATTGCCATCCTGTAATTCCTGACTGCTTGGAAATGACAAAAGGTGTGGATTCTCCAAAAAAAATACTGCCTTGGAAAATTGTCTGTAATATTTTAGACACATTGGCATATCATTTACATTGGAAAGTTTCAGTTTGCATCATAAAAATTCAGGTACTCTAAAGCAGCCATTCCAACCTGATGCCCCACATGTTTGGAAATACAAATCCCAGAATTCCTGACCATCAGCCATGCACACAGATTGAAATCCAACACATCTGGATAGCAGCAGATGGGAGAAGGCTTGATTATATAATGTACATGTTTTTATTGGAATATTTAGAAAAATGTAAGAAAATATTAAGAATTTATCTTGTACTGTTTAACTGTGATAACATGTGATGTGATAAATGTAGTATCAGGTAAAGGCACTGAAAACCTGTGGCCGCTAGCTCAATCTTCCCCAAGCCGGTGCCTCCTGGATGTGCTGGCCTACGACGCCCAGCGCCTGACAGCCAGCCCTGTGCTAATTAATCCTAGCAAAGCACTGAGTAAGATGTACCAAGAACCACTCATCCCTTTCAACAGAGAGCAGTGCCCTCTCAATTTCACTGGCACTGCTCCATTCACAATGAGGCATGGAGGCGCTTCACAGAAATGCATCACATGAAACATACTAGATGGCCCCGGGTTTCAGGAAGGACTCCTCCCCAGCCCTGCCTGCTGATGCCACGGAATCACGCAGGGACCTTCGCCGTGCAACGCAGCGTCTGACTGACTGGCAACCACCCATCTCAATGGCAGGCAGATATTCTCTCCCATGCATCCCAGGAGAATTCTGAAGAATATTAACTGCTACTTGGAAACGGCCGGGCTTGCCTCTTACTGTCTCACCAGCTGGCCCGCATCCATTATTACCAAGGAACTTATGGAGCAGCCATTGACTGCATCTCACCAGAATTTGCCCAGAAACACAGGATTCTACAGCAGATGTAAAATTTCTGGAAATTTCAAAGCCATGAAGAAAAAGACATTTTTGTGGACTTTAAAAGAAAATTTTGGAATAATGCAGTATTAGTACTGGTCTTAAGACTCAGAAAGTAACTTTTCCGTTTATATGCAATGTATTATATATAACTTGGTTTACAATTATCATGTCAGGGATTTTAAGGATAGTGTTTATTCTTCAGTGACATTATTTTATTCTTTGCATTTTTCTTCTTGCTTCTTTTGGAAGACGGCAGCTACAACAGGAACAGTTCTGACATGTTTTATTTCTTCCACTTTTGGAGGGTCTTTGTAATTGAAAAGCTTCTTGCCAGTAAGCACTTTCAGATATTGACAACGGGGTTCCAGATTAACAGGCTGCTCTTGCAAGAGGTTGGTCAATTCTTCCCTGATCATCAGGTGTCCCTTGCAGACAAATGAAGCTACTTAGTAGTTTCTGGCTGTCTTTGTTTGCAATGTTTGTTTACTTGAAGAAGTCGCTACTGATGGGCAATCTTCCCTTTGCAATGATACTAGAATTACAGAATGAACAGAAAGAGAGTTCTGAAATAAGAATGGAGGGAAGCACTTTCGTCATCCCCATTTAGATCTGTGATTTTTTTAAATGTCAGGACACTTCTTATATGGTACAAGGACAGGGTTGGAAATGCACATTTCATTTGACAGTGTCTGCAAACTAATTTTGTTTTCCCCGAAGAACTTGCAATATTGAAGTGCCTCCGTAAGCTAGATGTTGGTTTCACCATTTTGCTGAAGGGTAGGAAGCAAAAATCATCTACAGGCTATGAGGAGACAGCAACAAAGCATCAAACTGATGTATGATTTATGTAAGAGTTCTGAAGATAAATGCAGTTAAAATATGGTTCAATTTTCTGAACTTCTGCCTTGTGAATAAGTATTTTTGTTACTTTTTCACTCTATCACAGTCCTTTGAGAAGAAATGGATCCACCAAGAAGCAAGCAAGCAAAGAAACTGAAACCTTAACAACAGCAATGCACCCTATGAGTAGAAATTCATCTTGCTCACTGAACAACCTAGCACTTGTCTTCAGTGCACAAGAACTGTAATGATCTTGCACTGCACACAGTCTTATATGAACACCCATTGCATAGCTTTTACAAAATATCTTGAGCAAGTCTTCTGAAACCTATGAAACATTTTATTCATTATTCTGAACATTTCTGGGGGGGAAGCTGCAGAAAAAACAGTGTTTTCCCTTTCTTCTGGGCCTTCACATCACTACTCTGTAGAACAAAACTGAAACTGTCAAGAATACATATTTTCTTTGCATTTTATGGTACTGTAATTCCTATCATAGGGTGAAAAACTTGCTTATCATTAAAGACCCCCGAGATCAATAATATTAATAAGGAATAATTACATTGGGAAGCTTTACAGAGAAGACTGAATTTCCCTTCCATGGCTTCAAATGTTTCAGAAATTTTACATTCCTACTATTCTTATAAAAATCTTCCTTTTACATAGTTTTTAGAAAACAATTTGGGAGAGAATAAAACCCAAGTAGCAATATATGAACAGTTTACAAACTAAAATATGGCTAAACGTTCTATTAATAATTCTAGAATATTTTTTCATAATCCAAGTGCACACTTGTTCAGAAATAAAATAATAAGGGCCTTGGAAAGAAATGTGGGCAGGAACTGTTTTTCCCAGACCATCACATCTTATTCTGGAAAATTGGAAGCATGTACTGCGTGCACTGAAGGCCCAACATTCAAGGTCCAGCAGAAAAAGTTCCAGTCTAAATCCTTGGAAAGCCATTGCTAACCACTCAACAATATTGTGGAAGATGGGCCACTGGTGTGACTCAGTGGAAAGAGATCTCTACAAATACTGGCCCTAGAAAATCCTGTAGCACGTTAGGTTTGCATACTGGAAGGAGAGCTTCAAAGAGATAAACAA